TCTGGGTAAAAAAAATATTGGATAAAAAATTATCATACTTTACCACTATGGTATGTGGGTGGTAACTTGTAGTAAACAATGATGAAAGTCGTAAATGACAGTTAGTATACTCCTACTATCATGTATTCAATCTTCTTATCATATTGGTATGTTCATACTATCATGGTACGCTTTCTTACCATATGGCATTAAATAGGAGCATACCATATGGTAATGACTGGTAAAAAATTATTCAATTTTTTTTTGTACTAAAAATATATCAAAGTGCATACCATTTTAAAGAGCACATTTAATCTGATTTATGTGTGCAATTTTTTTTTTTAATTTCTCCTTAAAACGAGAGAGAAATCGTCCATTAAAGGGAATAGATAAAAGACTTTACAGGAGAGAGGACACTGATGTCATGCTGATGTGGACAGGTTACTCATGGTTACTGATCATAGAGTTACTGACCTGATCCGTTCCCCATCCGGGCATATGTTACGCTACAACATAGTTAGTAAAATACGATACGGGAAAGTTACGTAAAAAATACGTACGTGTATTATACTTTGTCTCTAAGCTAAAATTACGTTTAATAGTACGTTAATAGTCATAAATATATAAAATTAATCATTTTAAAAATAAATAAATATATAAATAATATAAAAGTTAACAATTTAATTCGTAAAATACGGATAATAAACGTGCTATACGGGTTTCATACGTGTTTAGTACGGGAGCCATCAAATGAACGGGGGAAAATGAAATGGCTTCACAATAATACGGATACGGAAGTTTTAAACGGATAAAGTACGTACGGGTACATATACATGTAGTAAACGGAGTATTTACTAACTATGCGCTACAGTACGTCCTTTGAATTTTGCTATTTAGATCATGAATTAATCGAAGTTTTAGACATAACACTATACCCTAACCCTTTCGTATCATAAATTATTTTCTCCAGAGTTTGGTTTCCGAAAAATAGCCTTATTTAAAGCATACAAGAATCTGCCCCGTTCCAACTGCAAAATCATCACCAAGCTTTTGTCAACAATTACAAGTAGCTTTCGAATTGAATATCTTCTTAATTAATTAAATTTTGGTGTCCGTTGGTGGTGAGTTCATATGCCGTTGGAAGCTCTTGCTCACCCACATTCTCACAGTCCTCTTACTTCACTCGCACCTTTCAATATTCAAGGAATAAGCAGGACCTAGGGTTATTGTTGTATTATTAATTAATGAAGTTCTAAAATATTGTGTTTTGATAAATAAATAACGCCCTCTTATTTTTAACATGCTAATAAGGATATATGTTTGTGGGAGGGGAAGATTGCCCTGAAATGTGAATTTGAAATTGTTTTAGGTTGAAAATTATCTGTGAAATCACTAAATTAATCCATCTTTCATAACATCTTGATAATGTACGAGGGTTTTTTTTTTCTCTTATTGAAGGGGTGCTATTTGTAATGTGACTTTCTTTCTGGTTATCAACTCGTTCTTGGAACCTTGAAAACGATAAAGATCCAGTATGAGGATTTTGACGAGGGGGTGTTAATTTGGTTATTGCATTTTCGACACATCACTTCCTGTATAATATAATCAACTAAACCTCTGTGGTACGTGCATCATATGCCTTTTGATTGTGGTAGATGTACACGATACACCCTAGTATAAAACTGCACTTAGATCATCAAATTCTGACTTTCAATCATTCACATTTGTTCAAAATCACAAATGATCCATGCAGTGTTGCTCAAAAAATCTGTCATTTTAGCAATCATTATATTGTTTCTGAAGTTGTACCCAACGAATTTAAAAATGCTTAAAATACACACAAATTGTATATAATTTTATCATAAACTTGCATATTTCTTACTTAGTTCTATAGAATCGAACAATTGAGATTATTTGGCGTCAAATCGGGTGATCAAAATAATGATCATGAACTTGGGTATCTCGTATACATATATGGAAGAAAAAAAAATTGTGAGTGTGTTATAAGTTATAACCTTTAATTGCATCTACATATGTGATTAAGGTGACATTAATTAATTAATTAATTAATTAATTAGCACAGGAAGCAGTTTATCTTATGTGTTCCAGCCTTGTCCGGTAATAAGGAGACTTTGGTGTTTCAACTTATATTAAGGCGACAGCAAGCTACAGACATTACGACAGATCCACAACTATTTTTTTTTTAATTCTTAATCAAGTGTGATCAATCAATTGGTAAATTAATTATGGTTGATTAATGTGTGACGATGGAAGGAACAGGTAAAAGCTTAGTTCCCAAGAAGCCACTTGGCTTGATGATGTTAGTGCAAATTTTTTCCGCCACAAAAACTGTACAGAGAAATAAAAACAACTCCCAAAACCCCATCATCTAATATTCAAAGATGAAAGATGCTCGTTTTAAAAGAGTTATCTGGTTTTATGCGTCATTCTATTGGTATCTCAATTTACGATTCGGGAAATCACTCCGAAATACTGATAGTTTTCCACACCATTTTAAGAATATTTCAATATGTGGTTTGAGAAATTAAATCATCCTAAACACCAATACATCCAAGATGCTGGTGGATTACGAACTTTCAATCACATTTAATGATCACCTGGAACAGGATGTTAGGTCAAAACTAACATTACATTTTAATGATTAATTAATAATCAATTATATATATGCTATGTTAACTAACGCGTTCATCATGTTCTTAATGATATCTACAAATTGATTAGTAATATATATTGTCTCAGCTGAATGATGTCAAAGTTGGAGAAAGAAGCTGTCCTTAGATAGTTAGAACTCAGAACTGCCAAACATAGTAACGGCCGGTTTATTTGTGCAAGTTTTGTTTCTTAGTACCTGGCCTCTCTTTGTTTGTTTTTCATTGAATGATTTTGTTAACATCACAATAATATATAGCAAATGTTTTATTCATGAATCCAAACAATACTATTTGAGAAAAAAAAAAACAAAATTAAATATTATTACTTGGATGTGATATTTCTAATGGAGGTACTTTTTTTTTCTTCAAAAGATCACTCAGAGAAAAATCCAATTACATGACAATCACATGGGCAAAAACAGACAAGAAAGTGACTGCCTCAAGATGATCTGATTAGGTCGGGTTAGGGTTTATATTGGGGTTGGGCAGGCTGACGTGGAGGGTTGGGATGATGTGGCGGGTTGGGTTTAGTGATTTTTGGGTTAAATCCGGCTGACTAGATTATTTCATTTGTCATGCCAGTATTTAACGCACTTCATTAACGGAGTTGGACGGAGACTAAGAGAGAGTGGCCAAAATTGGACCGTTATACTAATCTTAGTGACCAAAACTGAAATTAAATATTTTTAGTGACTAAATATGTAACTTTTTAGTAAACCTAGTAACCAAACTTGCAATCATATATATTGCGACTTTTAATGTATAATACAACTTATTCAAGCAAAGCTGTGATATTCAAGTTGTACAAAATATACACACTCATACAATTAATAGCAAAACATATTCAGCAATATCATACGATTTCAACATCGACCTATCCCACTATAAGTATACCGGAGCAATTTTCCTCCTTCTATTTTGACAATTAATCATCATTACGAACAATCGATCGATCACTACGAGTTGCACATATTCACCATGCCTCCCTAGTTCTTTGTTTTTCTTGCCTCATGGAGTGTGCTTTGATTGGTTTGTATTGTTCATGTATTTATAAAAAAGGCAATTGTTTAGCGGATTTCCTAACCCGCAATGGTCTTTCTTTACCCCTTTAGTTACTCATGATATGTCTTTACTTGATTCAGACATACGATAATGGGTCATATATGTCTTTACTTCGAGATAGCGGTGCTTTGCACCCGTTTTCGTTTTAAAAAAAAAATCTAAAAACTTTAATATTTGAGATTACGATATCAAACAGCTCGTTCATCCCAACATAATCACTCGACTCCTTTTGGGATTACAAATGCATATGTATAATTATTTATGTACACACAAGAAATCAAAGAACAAAAGGAAGACATATATCCCATGTTCCCCCTCAATCGATCTTGAGCATGTGAAGCGTGAAAAAAAAAATATTCACTTGAGGAAACTTTGTTGCTAAGTCAAGCAACAAAAGCTGCAACACCAAATACAACGTACGGCCCGATCGAATATCTGCTGTTCCCCCCCGCGCCATGAATGTCCAATCTGCTTTCTTTGGGATTTATTCTGCATGCACTTACTACTACTTACGACCCATTTTCTCGATCTGAAGCTGAACATGTCTCCTGTCAAAATAGGCCATCTAGGGCTCAGGGATTCTTTTGACGGTATATATGTAGGTGGAGCAAGTGTGAATCTGAAGAAATATGTTTGTCTCAGTGCACACACCTACTTGTCTGAGATCGATCGATGATTCTTTGTTCCATTCAGAATGGTGTGTTGCGATGTGGCATGTATAATCAGATTCTCAGCACAATACTATATAAATAACTCCAGCGGCAAACTTGTCTCTTATGCGATCCCTCGAACGAAAGGCAACTGATCAAGAGATCGAAGTTTGTGAAGACACATTATTATATCATGTGTTTTTAGAACAACGGTCAATATTGGGGTCGTGAGAACTTAAACACGTGTTAACAAAACTCTGATATCATGTCATAAACCAACTCGTCCTAATAATTCGGGTTTTCTGGAGATATTCATTTATTGATCTTAACCACTTTCTTACCTAAAAGTTTTTCAGGTTGAAATAAAAAATTTGAGGGTGCGTCGTTGGAGATATTCATTTACTAACTCGTCCCAATAATTCGTGGGTGCATTGGAATGGAAATTTGACTTCAGAATTTCCAGGTAGAAAACCGACTATGTGATACCACTAAACAAATTCCTTGTTTCGCCGAATTAAAAAAGAAAATTAGTCGTTAAATCACTAGTATGTACTTTAACCGGCCATATATTGATGGTGCTTATTTTAATGGATTAATGTATTGTGTATATATGGCCTCTTAAACAAGCTGGCCTTAAAGTACCTTATCAGTCTGGCAGGAAAATGATGGGGAACAAGGGCTCAAAATACGACCCAAATTTAATTACATTAGTCTAGTCAAGACCCCAACGGCCAACAAGTTGATTAATCATTTGCAAAACCAACAAATAATAAAAACCACAATATCAATTTTTCTTCTTCTTCTTTAGTTGTGAAGTGAATGAGGAGCTAAAAATTTACTCTCGGAAAATTTAAGCTGGTAAGAGGATTTTAACCTTACAAACTACTACTGTATTTTCTAAATTTATTGCAAAATTTATATGTAAATTTACATCATCCTGTGAGTTGAGAGAGAATTTACTGACCATAATTGGGAAAATGTTTTTCAACGTAATAAATTTTGAGAATCGAATCCCATGACGAAGAAGTTAGAGTTCAGAGCAAGGAGGGGGACTAAATAGATGAATCCGTTAAGGATAGGGCTGGGCATGCGGGCGGATCATCCGCGGGTTTGGGCCGACCCACCCGCATTTGACCCGAATTTCGTTAAGTGGGTGGGTCTGTGAGTGGGTGACGGGTTGCGCTAGGAGCCATCCGCCGGGTGGGTTGTGAGTGAGTGTGCGGGTGACCCGCTCAACTCAACAGCAAAAAGATCAAAGTCGTTGGCGCTAGAGAGAGGAGAGTGAAGACGTTAGATATAAACTCGGACTGCTCCTGGAGTTTGAACCTCAAAGCCAACCTTCCAAATAGAGATCCCCTCTTCTTTCCTTTACTTTTTCCTATAATTCTTGTGCCTAGGTCACCGCTCTTTCCTTTGTGGAATTATTTTCCTTAGTTCCTTGCACCTAATAATCGTCTCAATCTGTAGAAAACTCTTTCATAATAGAATTTCTATCCAATTTAAGAACTAATTCGACATTTTTTCGCCCTATTTCAACTTCTTGTTTCCCTCGATGATTCTCTTCTCCTATTATCATGTCAAGTTGACTCCTTTATATTATATTCATTGTGATGTGGGTGAACCCACAAACCCACCCGCATCATCCACCATCCGCCCGACCCAACCCGAGACTAAATATGGGTGGGTGGTGGGTTAAAAATTATCAATCCGTTTAAGCGTGGGTGAGTACATTTTATGGTCAAAATCCACCCGACCCACCCAATGCCCACCCCTAGTTAAGGAGAGTCTTTTCAAGTACAAAACGTAAGATTTAAAAACCCTCATCATCCCATCCATTTTTCAGTGTGTTTTCAAATAATTTTACTGTTGGTTCTAAACTATACATAACTGCACGAACCGATCGAAACCCAAAGCATAAAAATTACACCAACCCCATCACTTACCATCTCAAACATGATTTCCTTCCCCCCACCCTTTTGAAGATTCCACATCAAGTGAAAGCCATTCTTTTCCACAATGGCTCCAAAACCTCTGAGAAGAAGAAAAAAAAATACCTCTTCCCTTTTTCCTCTTCTCAATATTTTTCTGAGATTTTATGTCTCCATCAAACCGCCTTCCCACCTTTTATAATCTCTTCTCACAAACCTTCTCTCCCCCAACAACCATAAAAAGCCCTTTCCAAACCCTTCTCCATCTCTCTTCAAAATCCCACACCACCACCAACAAGCAACAAAAGAAGAAGCCTATTGCCTATACCTTTCAAAAACCCATCATCAGAAATGGCGGGGAAGAGAAACCAGAGCCGCGGCAGCAGCCCAACCTCCGGCAACTTCTCCGACGACGGCGGCTCTTCCACCACCACCAACAACAACAAGGAGCAGGACAAGTTCCTCCCCATAGCCAACGTGAGCCGCATCATGAAGAAGTCCCTCCCGGCCAACGCCAAGATCTCCAAGGAGGCCAAGGAGACCGTCCAGGAGTGCGTGTCGGAGTTCATCAGCTTCGTCACCGGAGAAGCCTCCGACAAGTGCCAGAGGGAGAAGAGGAAGACCGTCAACGGCGACGACCTCCTCTGGGCCATGACCACCCTAGGGTTCGAGAGCTACGTCGGCCCCCTCAAGGTCTACCTCGGCAAGTACCGCGAGACCGAGGAGGACAAGGTCAATTCCACCACCAACAACGACAACAGCCACCAACAACAACAGATCGAAAACTCTGTTACTGTTGCTGCTGCCAGCCCCAGTCAGCAGACCGTCTCTGTTACTGTTGCTAACAGAAACGGTCATGACTTTATGGGCGGGGTAGATAGCTACTACCAACGTAACCACCATCACTATGTGAATGGTGGTGGTGACCAGATGATGAGCGGGCCCGTGTTTTCGATGGGCCGACCCGCTCATCAGGGTTTGGACTTACATGGGTATGGCGGGCCGCCGGCTGGTACACCGTCGTCATTGGTGTACACGCTTGGAGTGCACCCTCATCAAGCGGCGGCGGCCGTTAGTGCGGCGAGGCTTCTCGGTTATAGTAACGGCGGCGGGAGTGGCGGGAGAGCTATGGCGCATCAGTTTAATTGACGGGGGAAAGAAATTGGAGATGAAGGGGAAGTTGGTCCAACCGAGAAATTGACCGAGTACTGAACTATTGATCATGAAAATTTTCTAATGATTATTTATTTATGCTAGAAATTAAGCTAGCGAGCTGATTTCATTTTTGCTTACTATAATTAACGATTAAATCATGGCAGTCAAGATGTAATACATTGACTTAATAAATTATTTTCAAAGCGAAATTAGTGAAATTGTTAGCTTGATTAGTGTTTATTGTTTATTTTTCTGCTGTATCCATCATGTAATGCAACATTTTTTTCCAGTTAAATTTGAATCATTTTGTTTAAATTCGTTCCAATGGATCTAAAATTAAAAGCAAAAAAAATTATAAGCAAAAAAGGATTTGAATAATTGTATTGGGGAGCGACTAAAGTCATTTATTAAAAATTTACATGTAAATTTACCTTTTTTACGGTGAAATAACATTGTTACTTAGGGTAAAAGAGATTACAAAACAAAATGAGGAAAAAGAAGCGCCACCGCAATACGAATGAGGGGGTTGTAGCTAGGGGTGGGCATTCGGTCGGTTCGGATTGAACCGAACCGAAATGATCTGTATCGACTTTCCAAAGCTTCCCACACCCCAACCGAATTCGAACAAAAATATATTTCGGTTCGGTTTGATCGAACTGAAATATATATCGGTTCGGCTCAATTTTTTGCCATAAACCGAAAACTCCCCACACATATATTCCACCATCCCCACTTCCCCCCCTCTCTTTCTCAAACAACTTCTTCTTCTTTTTCTACAGATCTCTCTCTCCCCCCAACAAACAAAGCTTCACTCTCTCTCTCTCATTCTTCTTCTTCTTTACGGAAGATCTCTCTCCCCCCATTTCTTCCTAACCTCTGACTCTCTCATTCTCCACCTTCCTTTACTTCCCCATCCCACCACCGCCATAAAACCACAACCTCATTTTCGCCCATCTCCAACCAGTAGAGCAAAAGAAAATCAGTCGCACTGTTGCCAATCTCCCTCTATGCTTCCTGATTTCAACTAAGGTAAGTCATTTTTGGATTGTATGTTAGTTTTAGAAATCTGATTTTGACTTAGGAGATGTTCAGGAATCTTACCCATCACTTGTTTTTTATTTTGAATCCTTTTGAGATTCTGACCTTTGTTTTATTTTTTTATTTTTTGGTGCGGCTGAGGAGAAAGAGGGTTGTGGCGATGCCGATCTGCTTAGAAGAGGACTACAGGTGGTGACGTGGTGTGGAGTTGGAGACGGACGTGCGGGCGACGGGATCCGAGAAGCAAAACAAGAGAGGAAGAAGTAAGAAGAGCGGCAGATCGAGATATGAATCATCTCAAATCTGATGTCCAAGGCCAAGGGGGAAGAAGACTGGTTTTTATTTTTTATTTACTTTCCTTTTCCTAGGGTTATTTGGTAGATCTGGAAGAAGGGGAGATAGAGAGAACGAGAGGGCTAGATCAAGTCTTTTTTATGCGGGTGGGCTGGACTTGGGAAGTATTTTTATTGGGCTGTGGGTGACTCAGAATGAGCTTGGGAACACGGGTCATGGGACTAATTTGTTTAAATTTGGAACTCGGTTCGGAATTCGGAAACTCGGTTCGGTTGAGATGGGTCTGGTTTTCGAATTATGGCTATTTTCCTTCCGAATTCTGAATCGAATAACATGTCTTCAGTTTTGGTTCGATTTGGGTTTAGCGAACCGGATGCTCACCCCTAATTGTAGCCCATTCTACCTTCAACATATCTTCATCATTGGGCATTCCGTTGATATTAGAGGTAGAAAAAATATAAAGTATTCACCATTTCGATAAAAAGCTATTTTCTTCCAACAAACTATTAGTATGCCTATTGAATTTGAATCAAATGAATTTTGATTAGTGAATGATTGTCACTATCACCTTTTACTTCATTACTAGTTTTTACCCGACCCGTTGGCCGGGAAATTTCATTTTATTATTAATATTAATTAATTTATCTTTATGCTTAATTTTTTGAATTTTATAGATATTTTATTTTCTCGCTTCATAAGTGAAGGTGGTATGCCTATATTGAAAATTCTTAATACTTAGTAGTTAGCACACTTACTTATGATGTTTTGATTCATAAATCATATTGTTGTGAAGGTTTGTCACGTCCCATTTAGTATCATATATTAATATTTTTCAACCAAGACACTCAAATTTATTATCTTATACAACATATATCAATACGTGATTCTCGAGTTTTGACACACTCTCAACAATTAATGAGTGTTCAGATTATTGGATAAAGATACTTGATTACCCGATAAATTATGTCTATCCCGACTGAAACTTGACACGCTCGTACACCCTTATGATGATCAAATGCTGCAATCATGAATCATGTTCATTGTGGATGTTCATGAAGTCTCACCTTAAGATCTTATGATAAAATTTGTCTATTAGTGCAACATTCCGAACCTTTCCTGACGAAGATATTGTCCGCTTTGGGCCTCGACCCTTACGGTTTTCGACTTGGGGTGCAATTCAAGGTGACTTCCCATAGGGTATCATATTATACCCTAACCTCTAATGGGTGATCCCCTAGTTCCTAAATTTCTAACCCAAACCACGAAATTTTGTTAATCTTAAAATGAAAATCAACTATAATTTTGATTAATCAGAATTGTTGATTTTCATTTCAATATTAAATAAATCTTATGCTTTGGGATAGTGAATTGGGACTGAGGTTCACGCATTAGGGGTTAGGGTATAGTATCATGCACCAAACTCCGGTTAATTCGTTGTCTAAATAACAATACTCAACGGGCGTATTGTAAGGTAAGTGTATGCCCAGGTGTATGCCAACCTTTGTAATATATATAGATTTTAGTTTACTTTTAACACTAATCAATACCTTCGAACTCAACTCATTGGCTGAATAAAAAGAGTTTGTGGCTAAGGTAACTCGATGTAAATACAAATTTCTTACTCTTATAAACTAAAATATTTTCATTTTGAAACTTTGATATCAGGTAATTTTTTTACTGCCAAAATTTGTATGGAGTCAGGCTGACAACCATATAACCAAATGAGTTCTTACAAATTGTCTTACTGAACTCATCCTTGTTAAAGATTCATCATATTAACCAAATGCCTCGGTTTAGAGTATTGTTACTATATTATATATATATATATATATGGTGCCTTCTACGGTACCCCAGGTGAAATCCAGGGTACCGCATACCTTAAGTACGAAAACGTTATCTAGACCTTGAATTAGCAGGATTTTTGGACATGATACTATTCCCTAACCCTTAATGAGTGAACCCTAGGTCCTAATTATCTAAATCATAAACTATAAACCCTAAGTTGGTGCATTGATTTTCCCCTCTATATTTGGACGAATCATAACCGTCAATTATTGTTTCTAATTAAATTGATCTTGGGGTATAATATTTAGAGAATTAAGACCTATATTTTGATCTTTAAGAGTTAGAGTATAGTATCATGTTCGAAATATCAATCAATTCAAGTCCTAGATAGCGTTTTCTTACTCCTGGTATGCGGTACCCCAGATTTCACCCTGGGTACCATAGAACTCCCCATATATATATATATATATATATATATATATATATTATATATATGGGAAGTTCTAGGGTGCCCAGGGCAAAATCCGGGGTACGATTACCAAAAGCATCACGAAGCGTTTAAGCGTTGTTCATTGGACTTCAACCTAACTGTACCCGGTTTAATTATATCGATTAAGAGGTTAAACCCTATGGATACGACCCGCCGCCCTAACCAATTTCTAGTCCCTCATTCGTCTTGGAGGGGACGTCCCCTCTTAGTTCGAAGTTCGAACATAATCCTTTTATCATCGTTTCTGAAATCTTAAATCTCAAATCCTTTTATCATTTGATCGACATTCGATTTAGCTCCCAATCCAATATCAAATCCCCAACATCATCATGTTTTGAACCCCAAATCTATGTATCCACGTTCGAAGAGAAGATCCCTTTTCAATCTAAAATCCCCACATAATCATCATTTTGAACCACAAATCCTTGTATCCACAATCGACATTTTGTTCTTCGCCATTTTATTTTCGACCGGAATCTAAAATCTCCACATAATCATCGTTTCCTTGTATCCACAATCGACGTTTTGTTCTTCGCCATTTTATTTCCGACTAGAATTTACACAAATTGAAGATAAAATAAGCAACACAGTCTTCGACCTAATTGAGGAAGAAGATGAAGAAGACAGAATTTGATTCGAATCAGATGGAGAGGTCGCCTTAACTTGTGTTTATGTATTAACGGTGCGTTTAGGAAAAAGTCTAGTTGGGCTTTTAAATTCCCTTCAAAAGTGGGCTTGTGTACATGATCCGGATTGTGAAGAGGTTGGGCTTTTATTTACATCTGCGTCTGCTTCTGCTTCTGCTTCTAAATCCTGATCATGTCTTGCGTTCACGCAATTTAAACACAATTATGTGTTCCATCTTTTTTTTGGGATTCGGTAAATGGTAGCGTGTCTATTTACACATTTATCGGTACGAGGTAAAAAACAATCCGCCCAATTTAACTCTTTATTAATTGCCCCTATTCCACTCTCTCACTGTTTGCCCCTCTTGACATAACAAACCTCTTGTAGACTAATTAGAGGCGTGTGGTTAAATACTTAGTGAGGACATTTTTTAAATTTATGTTTTGAAACGAAAGTTAGAATTTCGCTTTTGAAGTACTTGTGTACTTTACTTGGGCAAGTATTTTCAAAATGTAAAATTTTATCAGCGTATAGGTATGCGATTATTGTATAAGGTGTTTATGGTTAAGTTAATGATTACTGACTGGTTAGTGTATTAGGTTGTTGATGATTTAGAGTATATGGTATATGGTATATGGTTTAGAGTATATGATATATGGGATGGTTTATAAGGTGTTGAATTGTTGATGGTCCAGAGCATATTGTATTGATTGATTCGGCTGAGGGTAGGTGTTGTTTTATTTTTCTCGATTTTATATTGTCTTAACATCTTCTTATAAATGCTGATCATGCCTTATTATCAGGAAATTTAGACATAATTATTGTAGCGTGTCTCTTTACACATTTATCGGTACGAGATAAAATGATTTGGTGTGTGCAAAGTAGGTTCTCATTAACGATTTTGCCATGTTGGTTATCCCGCCCATTAGCGATTCGCCACATATGGAATCAAAATTAGTTAGAGTTCTTAACTTCATCTTTCTTCATTTATTCTTTGACTTGAACCAACACGTCTTTGCTCCGAAGGATTTTGGGTGGTAGTGGCGTGCTAAAGACAATCCGTCCAATTTAACTCTTCGTTAATTCCCCCTTTTCTTTTCTTTTTTGGTAGAATAATTACCCCTTTTCCACTCTCTCAGTCCCCGCCGAAGTTGAAACAATCCCCTGTGATATATTTATCGTTCATTTTAACCCTTCACTTAATAAGAAAGCGAAATTATGCAAAATGGTCATCAATGTGATGTAGCTTAAATGGTTAATTGTCCGTTATTTGCTTAGTCAATAAAGTAGAGGTTTGTGGTTCGATACTTAGTGAGTATCAATTTTTAATTTATGTTTTGAAAAGCAAGTTATAATTTTAATTTATCAGCGTATAGGTATACGATATTGTATAAGGTGTTGATGGTTTAGAGTACATGGTATTGGGTTAGTGTATTGATCATCTCCATCCCTAAAATACGATATTGTATAAGGTGTTGATGGTTTAGAGTATATGGTATTGGGTTAGTGTATTGATCATCTTCATCCCTAAAATTGAACAACAATTTCTAAACGAGGTCCCTACCGCCACATCATCAATTTTAGCAATTCATCACTTATCAATTTCTATTCATCTACATCCCTAAATTATGCTAGCAATTGCCAAGGTGGGTTCCATTTTATATTTCAAAGGAAACACTTATTATAAATTGAAAGTTGGGGATGGAGATAGAAGAAGGTGTTGTTGGTATACAGTATAAGGTCTTGAAGGTTATGGTATAAGGGAGGAGCAAGGTGTTGATGGTTTAAAGTATATATGTTATTGATTGGTCACGGTATAAGCCTATAAGGTGTTGTTATTGTTGTAGAGTATATGGTATTGATTGGTTCGTGTATTAGGATTTGGTTTAGGGTTTAGGGTTTAGGGTTATGATTCAAGTTAGAATAACATAAACCAGATCAATAGAGTAATGTTGGTAAATGAAAAAGTTGGTTAATCTACAAATTCAGACTATTTATAAAAGCACATCCCCATTTCCCACCGTCAATTCCTAAACTTTTCCCTTAATCCGATGGTGAAATACCTTCGATCCTTGTCGCGTGCGTGTCACCCAATCAGATATTGCCGAATTCGGAAAGTCGCTTTTGCCCATAACCAATGCTGGCGTTACCAAGGCCGAGGCAGTGGTAGGGAGTGTAATTTTCAGTAAATGTGAAGGGAGAGAAAGTAAAAGTAATTACGAGTCAATCTTAAAATTCGTTAATCAGTGAAGGAGAGACCGTGCTCCGAAACCCGAGTGGCACTCATCTCCTGCTGCTGTTCGTTCCTCCTCCTCTCAATCCCTGAAAAGAACCCTTTCTTCCATCTTCTCAATATGAAACTCCGAAAATCAACCCCATCCGCCTCTTCGTCCTCCTATCCCATGCTTTATTTTCGGGTGCAGTGGTAATGATGAGACTGCGTATTATTTTAGATCTCATTTCCTTTCATTATTTCATTGTTAGATCATGACTGTTAAACTAAATCCTTCATTGTATTTTTTCTCCTTTTCTCTCCATGCAGGGTCTTTGTTAGAGGCAGGGAGGGGAGCAATGACAATAAGTCGCCGTCTGAATATCGCCGAAAGAATCATCACATGTTGTTGCGATTCCATAATATGTGTTATGGAACCCTACTTCATGTGGTGGTTCTTTTGTGCGATATTGATGCGTACTTGTTGATCATGCTCCCAAAATGTATACAAGATAGGAAAGTTGCCATATGTATAATAGGATAAAATAGGGAGGGAAAGTACAGCTTTTTGTTTTTGTTGGACTATATGTAACATTTGTTTATATTTGTATACTGTTTTGTTATTTTTTCTTCTGCTTCTCTCTTCGCTTCCATGGCGGCTTCCAAAAGTGTTTGAGATCTTCTAAATCTGCGAGGGATCCTCCACTCCCAATAAAAATACTGTACTTTGTACTATTAGCGTTTGAGATCTTCTAAATCTGCAGGGGATCCTACACTCCCAATAAAAATATTGTACTTTGTACTATTAGCGTTTGAGATCTTCTAAATCTGCAGGGGATCCTACACTCCCAATAAAAATACTGTACTTTATTTGTTGACTACTAACTCCATTTTTAGAAGTCTTTACGATTGGGCCAACCGGATTTTTTGCCGGATTTCGAATTCAGCTCCTCTGTCGCCACATGCTCTACCCATTTAATGAGTGCTCAAAATTAGTGCAAAAAATACGATATAATAATTGAATAAAAAAAACTAGTTCTCAAGATTATTCAACTGAAATGTTGCACATGATTTATTTAGAGTGCTTAAAAATTGCCTTCAACTGACCATTAATGAGTGCATAAATTAAACGACACCGCAAGAGCCAACAATCTTCTTATATACCAAACGACTCGGCATAGGAGGACTTCCAGTTTCAGTTCAAGTTACCAACACCGAGCAAATATATGGTCCCAATTGCCACTTCAGCAACTTTAACTATACATCAATTGTGACCGTGGGTCCTACTTAATTTTCAATGCAATTCAATATTAATTGGTGAGTGTGTTATATTAATTTGAGTTTTCTCTCAAGTTGTTTTTTTTCGTTGTGTTATTCGAATTATGTAAAGTATTATGATTGGAATTGTATATATGTGTGTGCTGCATGAAAATTTGCAACTGCATGAAAACATTCATCAGATGCAAATTTGCAACTTTTGTAATTGATCCCCACATCAATGCAACTTACCATCCCACTTTCACTCCCTTGCCACATCAGCTTGCAATTCTCAAGAATTGCACCATTGGAGATGGTCTAAATAAGCAAGGTGTTGATGGTTTAGAGTATATATGGTATTGATTGGTTAGGGTATAAGCCTATAAGGTGTTATTGTTGTAGAGTATATGTTATTGATTGGTTCGTGTATTAGGGTTTGGCATTGCAAGAAGAATTCCTAATTTAGCAATCTTGCTAGTTTAGAAAAAATATCCTAGGTGGAATTGCAATCTTGCTAAATAATGGTGCCACCTAGGATTCCACTAAATAAGCAATGGGATGGATTGGTTCGGGTATAAGCCTATAAGGTGTTATTGTTGTAGAGTATATGGTATTGATTGGTTCGGGTTTAGGGTTTAGGGTTTAAGGTTCAGGGTTCAGGGTTTAGGGTTTAGGGTTCAGGGTTTAGGGTTTAGGGTTACAATTACATGTACCAAATCAGTAGATTAATTTTGCTAAACGAAAAAGTTAGTTAATCTACAAAGCCAGTCTAAAAGCACATCCCCATCTCCCGCCGTCAATTCCTAAACTTTTCCTTTAATCCGATGGTGAAAGAGCTTCAATCCTAACCGCGGCGTGTCACCCAATCAGATATCGCCGTTTTCGGAAAGTCGCATTTGCCCCTAACCAGTGCTGACGTTACCAAGGCCGAGGCAGCGGTAGGGAGTGTGATTTTCAGTAAATGGGAAGGGCTGGAAAGGCAAAGTAAATTTATGAGCTCATTTATAAATTCTTTAATCAGAGAGGGAGAGACCATGCTCCGAAACCCGAGAGGCACTCATCTCCTACTGTTGTTCGTTCCTCCTCTCAATCCCTGAAAAGACCCCTTTATCCCATCTTCTCAACCCCGAAAATCAACCCCATCCGCCTCTTCGTCCTCCTGTCCCATACTTTATTTTCGGGTGCAGGGGTAATGATGAGACTGCTTATTATTTTAGATCTCAGTTCCTTTCATTATGTCATTGTTAGATCATGACTGTTAAACTAAATCCTTCGTTGTATTGTTTCTCCTTTGCTCTCCATGCAGGGTCTTTGTTAGAGGCAGGGAGGGGAGCAATGACAATAAGTCGTCGTCTGAATATAGCCGGAAGAATCATCATATGTTGTTACGATTCCATAATAGGTGTTGTGGAACCCTACGTCATATGATGATTCTTCTGGGCTACATTGACGCGTACTTGTTGATCATGCTCCGAAAATATATACAAGAGGGGAAAGTTGCCATATGTATAGTATAAAAGTGGGAGGAGGGAAAGTACATTGTTTTGTTTTTCAAGATTTGTACTTTTAGTGTTTGAGATCTTAATAATATATCGGTGAGGGATCTTTCACTCAATAAAAATACTGTAGTTTATTTCTTGATTACTGCCTCCATTTTCAGAAGTCCTCTGTCGGCGCATGCTCTTGTCATATCGAATTCAATAAAAAATTAAGTAACTTTATAAACAAGTAAAAAATCCGATTTAATAATTCAATAAAAAAACGAGTGAGAAAAATAATTTAACTGAAATGTTGCACATGATTTATTTAGGGAGCAACATCCATATCGAATTCAATCAAATCCATCCGAACTAAATAAAACGACACCGTAGAAGGCAGTAGTCTTCTTATAAACCAAAGAGACACAATGACACATAAATAAAACGACACGCAATTAAAACGACACCGCAGACGGCAACAGTCTTCTTATAATTCAAACGACGCCGCTTCAAGCTGATACTAGCAGTCTTCACATAGTCCATTTGTCCTAATCCGAATAGGATAAGGACGTCCATCTTCACTTCAAGTTTTCAACAATCCTTAGGTTGCTACTTCTTGTAACAGGCCTCTTCTGCAAAATCGATAACGACGATTTTAGACGTACAAAAATATTGGATGTAACTGCATTGTGTAGACACGAACAATTATATCTTATTCTTACCCTAGGTTGCTCGTAATCGTCGTCATTGTCATTTTCATCATCGTCATTTTCATCATCGGATGGCCCAGACCCAGTACACGTTCTTGCATTATGATTGGTAGAACCGCACTTACTGCAATGCTTTTGCCTTCTCTTCGGTACTGTTTCCGACTGATCTTGAGTGGTGGGAGGATCAACATCGGTGTCATCGCCACCGCCACTTTCTTCCGAAACACCATCATTCGGGGCATCACCGTCTGAGGTTGGCTTCACATAGCCAACAGGATGTGGGCATCGGGTCCTATAGTGGCGCCATTCACCGCAATTGCTACACTGTCGTGGTTCTCCTTTCTTCCTTTTAGATTTTTTAGCCCCCGAACCTTTAGCTTTGACCTGTAATGGATCCAACAAAATTTCATTCGCCTTCGGTCTATTAATGCCGGGTATGTCCACGTTGCCAGTGTCCACCATGTCCAACTTTTCACATAATGACTGAATTCCCTCACGAGCAATCTTGAAGCAATCACTAGATTTTGCCCCTTTTAACATTAGTTGTAAGCTTTGTTGTTGAATACTACCATACCTGATTCACACAATATTTTATACAAAGTGAGTAAAATTAATGTTCACCTAGCTTCGAACCAATATAAAAAAAAAATTAAAAGTGATAGTCATGGCAAACCTTAATGCGAAAAGTTGAGATTCATCTATTATGTCTGCTTCCTCCAAGCTCTCTAGTGTCTTCGGCTTCTTTGACCATCTTCGACGTACTAGGCCTTCAGGAAGTTCCAGTATGCTCTCTTCTTTCAGTACAAAAATCATATGACGGCATGGTATTCCCATATAATTGTAGTGATTACAACTACACTCCATTGCAAAGGGTTCAACTGCGTACGTGACTTGAAAAACCTTATCCATGCCAAACACCTTGACCTTGTACACACGCTCAATTTCCGATCGCTCTGTCTCCAACCTTATGCAACATGCCGACTTTTCAACCTCATCTCTGAACAAGAAGAATGCGTTCTTTGTGAAAACCGCCGCTCCACTCTTCTGAAGTGAGACTAAGACATTGCTTGTGATGGTTCGTTCTCGATGAATGGATTCAAAATCAGCATGACGCTCATTCTCCCTCATATCCCTAGTCCAACGATCAAAGTGAATAAAGAACTCAAGGAGATTTTTATCCTTCTCGATATAATTGGCAAGTTGAGAGTTCAGTCCTTCACATCTTGATGTTGTACTCAAGCCTGCGAAGAACTTCGAACGCAAATATGCATACCCCCATTCATGTCTTTGCTCAAATAAATTGGAGACCCAATTGTTGTGCTGAAGGGAGCATTCCTCAACCACTGATTTCCATTTTTCTTCAAATTCTGAAGGTTCCCAATCAGCTGACACAAAATGCTTCCATCGGGGCAAAAAAGTAGGATGATTCTTCACATTTCTGGTTATAGTCTTGTCTATATGCCAGGAACATAGACGATGTGTTGCATCGGGAAATACTTTCTGAATAGCATTACGCATTGCTCTATCCCCATCTGTAATAACAGTCTTGGGATCTACACCGCCTAGCCTTCTCTTCAAAGCTCCCAACACCCAAACATAATTTTCCTCTCTCTCGTTAGCCAAGAAAGCACATGCAAATACGCAAGTTTGCGAATGGTGGTTGACACCTAAAAAAGTTCAAACAAAGTTAGATTATGCAAACTTCTAGGGTTATTTTAGCATGCTCGGGATAATTCTATGTGTGAAGGAAAAGTACCTGAAAAAATCACGAGAGGCATCTGGTAAATGTTCCTTTTGTAAGTAGCATCGAATGACAGTAATTCTACAAAGCATGCATAATCAGCAACAGAAATACTATCGGCCCAGAAAATGTTAATAAGCCGGTCGTCGTCATCCTAATTTAGTTTAATAACGAAATGCTCGTCCGCGCTGCATTTAGCTTGCAGGTAGGCTAGGGCTGTTGCGGCATCACCTTCACTGATTTGTTCTTTCCTCTCTTTGTCCACATAATTATATGCATCCTTCCTCGTGTACCCCAAATTGTCGTAGCCTCCTGCTTCTGATACGGCTAGATTCACAATTTGAGAAGTTTTCATACCTGCAGCTCTTCTAAAATTTATCGCTGCTTTGACTGCATCACTCATACGACGTTTCCCTTTCATGTAGTGTCTATATTCTCTGGGGATCGTTTCATGTGTGTACATCATCAAACTGGTGCACATACCACTTCCCATCGACATTGTCTTGTTTAACACGCATCTTGGCTCTGCAGTTAAATCTGGTCTCCCCTCTTGCTTCTCTCTTTCGTTCTGTGCTCTTCATGCGCCTCTTTCCCTCGCCAGAGCATACATAGTCACGCCATATCATAACTTTGTTCTTATCACGACCAATGTCTGATTTTCTGATGTCGAAGCCTTTGACTAACCCGTAGTCCATGTAGAAATCATAGGCTTCTTTTGTATCATCGAACTTCATTTTTTTAATATCTTCAGGCTGTAGAAATATGAGATCGGCGACATTATCATTCTGGGTGGTGTGACTGGCTCCGGCACCAGCGTTTTCTTGGACTTCCTCCGACGTCAATACTAGGACTTCCTCCAACGTCAATGGTGAGTCTGCCTACGACGTCATTGTCACTGCTGGAAATTTTGGGGAACCAAGGACGTAGATTACAAAACCCTACTGGGCATGATGGCCGAATTAATGCTTCAATGGGCCACTTAATAATTATCCCCATTAATAACACGATTTGTGATATCTTATATTTTTGGTAGGAACGAGTTGAACTTTCTGTTCTTTATCTTAGTGATTTCTTTACCATTTTCACAAATAACGAAAATATTTAAAATGAAAAACCTTTCTTAGTAAAGCCAAACTCCAGCTGACTCTAGCTGTGTACTACGTGTATGGGGAAGGATCAAATATTAATATGAGCGAATATTTACTAATAGCACTCAATTCTTTATTCGATCAAAAAAAGTATATTTTTAATTTTAGGTTTAATAACTACCCATGTTTATCCCAAGTTCATGTACCTTAGACTAAACCCTAACTATTTTTCCACGGGAAAAATATGGCGCCACAATTTATCCTAACCTTGTATATATAATTAACCTTCATCGGTAGAGCAGTGGTTCCATATCCTTCTTTGCCGCGATTTTGAGTACAGAGTAAAGCTTAGATTAGAGGCACAACATGGAAAATAGGAGAATTACTCGCTCTTCGTCCAAGCTTGTGGTATGTATAATAGCTCTTTTTACCATTGAAATTCATTCTAGTTAATTTATTAATCGCAGGTTCACTGTCATTGTAGGAGACAGCCGAATTTGTGACTCCAACAAAGAAACCAAGGATACCCAAAGGTGTAAGCACTCCACCCACTCCTGCTTCAGTCATCGTTTTTATTTCGGACGATGAATCTGACTCCGAGGTCACACCAAGGAAGCCAAATGGAAAAAGTATTTGTCTACCTTCTGTTGACAAGGTAATAAAGGTGTCATGTTTGCCATTGAAGTGTTCTTTGCCGTTATTCCGTCATAACGAATGCATTTCCACTCGTGTTTATTTGTGGCCCCTATTCCAGTTTGTTTTGAAGTTTAAGCTACCTACCGCTATGGAATACGATGATGAGCAAATCCAGCTTGCTCACTATATATTTTTAGCCCATCTGCCACCTGACGAAGTATTGGTCAAAACCTCTAACAACTCTTGTACGAGGAAGTCATTGTAGTCCTTAAGCCCTCGCTCATTCGTAGATGCTGAAGTAATCAACGGAACTCCAAAATTTGGTTTTGTTTGTCCACTATCAATGCTTTCTACGTAGAATTATTTTATAACAACTCGATAGTATCATGAAGTGTTTTTTGTCCATGTTATATTAGGTTATAACAGCGATGGCCTGCCACTTGACTCTAGAAGAGTTGTGGACAAATTCCAAGGACGGAAAAGGAGTGTGCTATCTGCCTGCTGAACTACAGGTTGTGGTCCGATTATACTTAATGACAATTTCCTCTCACCAAAAAAATTACAACACATGTTTTTTTAACGTGAATCATATTGTGTTGACAAAATTTCAATTGTGCAACTACCACATGGGCAGGAACTAGTGATTTCATGTGGAATAACACCCAAGATGGCATTAGACCTATACGAATCAAAATTCCTTAGTCGAACCAATATGGTGAACAAGGTAAACTGTTCGTCTTAATAAGTATTACATGGTTTGCAGTTTATTTTTTTAATACGTGTTGACAATTTCCGCATATGTAGGTGTGTGTTCCGATGAGAGATAATGCCCATTGGTACTTGGCTGTCATTAAGTTGGACAAGGAAGAAGTCCATATCTTGGATCCACAACCAAATGAAGACCGCAATTCCTTTCGACTACAATCTGTTCAAACAATGGTAAATTTGTGACATTGTGCCGTTATAACGCAAAAAATTGTAAATAACTCTTTCTAAGTACAAACGTTTCTTAATTTGTACAGATGAGATTTATGCAAACCAAGGATTGTGGATTTTTCGTACCCAAATCCTTCAAAGGATCAAGAACAACTTCATCGGTAAGTATGCCCATTTTTTTGTGATATTAAACGACGACTTATCAACTTGGTTCTTATCACGCAATGCTTTTATTTTATGTAGGTCTGACAGTGGAGTCTGGGTATGCATGTGGATGTATGGCGCAAGCTGGGACTCCTCTTATATTTGGGTAAAGACAATTCTAATTCGCATATTAGAAAACCACAATTGATTGTTATTTTTGAATCATGCGGTAAGCACCATGTTTGTTGATGTTGATAGCCATGCACTCAAGTGAGGAGGATGCAGATCGCTTTGTACCTTGTTCGAGAGCCCATGAACTACATAAGGCATATGGTGGTCACGGAAGCAAGAAGAGTTGCACCTCAAGTTGAAGCTGCAGTGGAAGAGTACAAGAAAACCCATGAAAGGAGGAAAAAGGAAAGAGAAGAGCACAAGGAAACCCAGTCAACGAGCCCAAGAACAACCTGATTTTTCGTTGCAAGATGATGGACAACAGTTATGTTTTTTTTTTTTTTGTCAGGATGATGGACAACCGTTTTTTATTTGGTTCGGTGAATGCTTTTTATTTTTGGTTTTTATATTTGGTTTGGTGAATGCTTTTTATATTTGGTTTTTGGTTTGGTTTGGTGAATGCTTTTTATGTTTGGTTTTTGGTTTGGTTTTTGGTTTGGTTTGGTTTGGTTTTTGGTTTGGTGAATGCTTTCTATATTTGGTTTTTGGTCTTTGTGAATGCTTTCTATATTTGGTTTGGTTTGGTTTGTTTTTTCGTGGAAATGGCAAAGGGACTTCACCAAAATTCCAGCTTCTAACTTGTGAGTGAGGCTGCTTCTGTTCAAGGCTTCAAGCCATTGTATCTTGTAGAGAGGTTTAATTGGGATCATGTATAGTTAAACTGATTGGCTCCCAATTGTATAATAAAATTTGCATTCATGTATAGGTAACCCAAAAGGTACAACTGATTGGCTCCCAATCAGTATAATTAATGACCAAACCCCGTACAAGGCAGATAGAAAATTCTTATGTAATTAATTTAATGTTCCTAGGATATGGAAAGGCTTCCATTCCTTGAATTTCCACCAACGATGTTTTCACTCCCCTTTTAGTCAGAGAATTCACTGTAGTATTAAATACAATAAAAAGGCTTACATAATTAATGGATTCTTTATTGTGTATAATTAAAAGGATATTTTACTATAAACGAAGCATGATAGATTCACAGGGGGTAAAAGAAGCATGAGTCTTGATGAAAAAGGGGGAAAAATCACCATAGATAAAAAATCATTATAATCAAGCCATATCCATACTATTCACGCCTATCATCGTCACTATACTTGTGACCAAATATAAATAAAACCATAATTTTCGAAAACCATTAAAAAATGAAGATTAAATAAGTAACACATTCTTCGACCTAATTGGAACTGCTTAGAACAAAAGCGGATTAAAATCTCCCACAATGAAATTCATTTGCAATTTCATAGGTAGTCCCCTACTTCCACTTCTATAATTTTGAGAAAACATTGCAATTTCATCAATAGTCCCCACTCGTGGGCCAATTTCAATTGCAAGCAAATTTGCACCCTTGCAATAGCTTCTCACATCATAGCAAGTGTAGGATGCAATTGCACCTCCTTGCTTAGGGATGACCATTACTGCATCTCGTCACCTGTCTTAGGAAAATTAGCCATGGCAAATTCACAAAATACTGCATGCATAGAAAAATATTTGTCTGGATAATTAAAAAAATGGGAGACTTTCCTAGTCAGATGATGTACTGGCTCCCCTCAGTACCTGACAGTTTTGAGTGCTGGAGAATAAGACTGGAAAAAAAAACCAACAAAGCCTGAGTAAACTTATTAACAAAAGACATCCAATGCTGGCCCCTTTGCTGCTCCAACGCTCCACCCCGCCCTGCATCAATCGACTCTCATGTAAGCCGAGGACGTTTGCTTGAGGATGCCTCAGGGGTCTCTTCATGCTCCGTATGCCGAAGGTCAATAAAAGTATTGGTCAATTCGACGATATGGTAGACTGGCAAATAGGCGCACTGGTCCTCCTTAGCATAAACCCCCATATCCATCCCAACCCTTTCAAGAAAGGTGGTCAAGAAGGTGGCATATGGAAAGGCAGTGTACCAGTTTTCCCCTCTAGGAGCAGCCTCAACCATGTTCAGGCACATGAGAGATGCGAGGTTAACAGGAACACCTCTTTGAGCTTGCACAAGGATAAACAGGTCAAGTTTACGAATAATCAAATGACCACGGTACCTTGGCATGAAGCAGTTGACGATCATCCAGTGGAGGAATCGAAGAGGATCTGGGAGGAAAGAAGCCTGGATGCGCCCCTTCGTCAGTTTTGCCAGTTCAACTTCAAACTCAAAATCGTACAGCCGCCCAAGATCGCTTCTGCTATCAATGGGGTGTCCTGCGGCGGGGAGATCGAGGATCTCAGCAAATTGATGAGGCTGGAAGCAGACTCTATGACCCAGGAAGATCGACACGAGATGAGAATCGCAGGGACCAGACAGCTCTAAATTGTGGTAGAACTTCCTCACCACATGCGGGCAGTAACTGGTGCTTCCTCGACTCCGGAGATCAAAGAACTTTTCCCAGCCAAGATTTTTAATTAACTTCTTCACTTCTGCAGGGAAAGGACTCAGGTGGATGAACTCGTACTCGGCCACAATTGATGTCTTCCTTGTGAATGAAAGATAGTCCCCGAGACTTGCGGTGGATCGGCAGTCTTCGTTTGAAAGAGATAGTATCCCCATTTCCGCAAAAGATTTACCTTTGTTTGCCATGGAGTCAGAGGAAGAAGGAACAAGGGAAGGTGAAGATGAAGGAAAGAGAGAATGTAGGTGTAAGAAAAAGTGATCGTGGGGGTTGAGTGTGGAGACGTGAGTGTGATGGAGACGGTTGAGTCTGGAATGTCAAGAGTTAGAAGATTTCGGAAGATATGTAGTAATGATGATGTTAACTCGTGTAGCTTAAACTAGGGTAAGTAAAGCTAGTTAAACTAGGGTTGGCGCACGAATTGATACTGCAGGAGAAAAAAAATGGGCTCGCACGTTCCAGGCCCACTTTTGAATATTGCATGGGTCATGTACAAGCCCACGTTTGAATCTTATTTAAAAGCCTGCAAAAATCAATGATCAGACCTAGTCCAACTAGAATTACTCCTAAACGCACCGTTAATACATAAACACAAACTAAGGAGACCTCTCCATCCGATTCGAATCAAATTATGTGTTCTTCATCTTCTTCCTCAATCCTCTGGGCGAGACGAACACTACATATCAGGAAACCTAAATTTCACCGAGAGATATAAGGTTCGAGAAAATCACAATAACGCTAAGACAAGATGACAAAGCACTAGCGACATGAACCCTAGGGTTAGCAAACCTCTTTCAAGGGTTCTTTTGCAAATGAAAAGTTTGATGAACAAAATAATAGACATGGTCGCCGTAATCGTGTTAGAAAGAGATAGGCGAGGGGAAATAAAATGGCAAAGAAGAAACAAGACAAAATAAATTGGGAAATTCAATCTACGTCGAATGTGGATGCAAGTAATTGGGATTCAAAAAGATGATTAAGTTGGGGAGTTCAAATTGGATGGGGAGCGTCTCTTGGAACTGTGAAGGGGTGTCCCTCCAAGACGAGAGAGGGATCGTGTAATTGGTTAGGGAGACTGGAAATTGGTTAGGGCGGCAGTGGGTCTACCCAATTGGGTTTGCAGTCTTAATCAATTTAATTTAATCGGGTCAGTTAGTTGGACTAGGATGAAAAAAAACTTAACGCGGCAAGAGCCTTTTTGTAATTTGTTTAGTTATTTAGTGCGCAGGAAGGTTTAACAAACGTGAGCCGTGGAGATTGAAAACGAATGGTTAAGATCGGCCAAGGTACCCGTACCCGGATTTTGCCCTGGGCACCGTAGAAGTCACCATATATATATGAAGTAACACAATGATAGATTGTCTCTCAAGACATTTTAAACAACAATTTCCAACCCTTATTTAATTATTGCAGGGTCAGGGGTTGACGAAACGTGATCCTTAACGTACATCCTCAACAAAGATTTCTAACCTTCACACATGTCATTCTCATCCTGGAAAATGAAGTCAAAGTACGTCAACAATCATACTTAAGTCATTTTGAAAATTTTGATATATTATCCTCGATTATTAATGACTCGAGCTTGCTCAATGAACATGATCTAGAGCATTAATATATGATGTAAACTTAGGATAAATTATAAATTGTTGCACATGTGATTCCTAAGTTTTTCACTTGATCAGAATGAATAAGAAGATTTTTTAAGAAATTAATATTATTTTTTGGTCAAGTTTATAATTCAGATCTTTTTTTCTCTCTTTCAAATCATTATATTTTGTTCTATCGACAAAATATTATCATTATTATTACTATCGATTAATACAAAATATTATTATTTATGTGTGTTTGTTTAATTTTTCATCAAAATGTAGAAAATTTACTTGATAAGATTTAAGTAGATATTTTTAGTTTAAAAAATATAATATATGTCACTCTCTATTTTCATTTTTATATTGTGTTTAATTGAAATAAGGTTATTAATTATGTGTGTTTGTTTAAATTATTCATAAAAATGTACCTTATTATTAATTTTTAGGTAAAAAAAAAGTATAAAACTTACTTAGTAAGATCTAACAATATATTTTTGGGTTTAAACAAATGTGATATATCATATATGTCACTCTTCAAACATTAGTCTACTACATTGTACATTGGTATAATTCAAAAGCACAAAAAAAATTATTGGATAAAAGAAAAGGAAATATTCAATGAAGAGAGATATAACTTCATAAATATATCAATAATTATTTTTTTGTTTGTAAGAGAATTGTCCACCTTGGCAACTTGTGAGTTCTCCAAGTGCTTATGTGGCAAAAAATTACATTTGAATTGTCATAATATTATGTATAAAAACGTAACTAGTATTGTGACCACCATTGAGCAGGTTGTTACGGTTCCCATATAAGTGAAATCTTCAAAGTATAATTCATACATTTGTGGGTGTTTTTTTTATGTTAACAATGGACAATGATTTAACTCACACCAAATTTTGTATAACTAAATCACTGCAAGCTTCAAATATAGACTTAAATGAATGGATGGAATGCCTCAACACGGGGAGGGGAGAAGAAAGAAGGTTGCTAGTAATCTTGAAATCAAACTCTCCCAATTCATAATCAACTCCAAAACTTATGTTAACTATTTGGGTATGCCTACTATGACATACATGTCACGGTGACATGCACTTTTCGGTCGATCTATTCCTGAAGGTGGTCGACCGAATTGACTAATTTGGGCAGCACGAGAAAGCATTGCGGTCGACCTCAACGACCACTTGGTCGACCGCACTTAGTTTAAGTTGTTATTTTTGGTCGGCCAGAATAAAACCTGGGTCGGCCATTTCGTTGGCGTCAGAAACAACATGGTCGACCACCTAAGGTATATAGGTCGACCACCTGATGGCAGTCATTAACAAAATGGTCGACTGGATAAGGAAAGAGGTCAACCAGATAGAAGATAAGTGTTCTATCAAAGTGTCCAATCATTTGACGTAAAATGAAGATCAAGTGTTGGTTTCGCGGTCGACCTAATCCGGTACGAGGTCGACCGAATACAAGAAAGTCAACCTATGCCCCGTGTCTTTTTTGCTTATGGATGTCGATTTGTGTGGTTCTTTTAATCGTATAAATTATGTTTCAAACCATCATAATTAGTCATAAATAATTATAACAAGGACTCATCAATTCATAGCATAACAACTAAAAATAAAACAGAAATCATAATTGTTCACACATAAAAATAAAACTAAAAAAACAACAGAATAACAATCAACAATCGTTTTGACCACTAAAACACACAATATAAAATCTCCTCTCTCCTACTCATCTCCCCCCTCTCTCATCCACATTTTCTTCATTGGTGGTGCTAGCATGATGGTGGTCGGATGTGGTGGGATGCATGTATCTTCCGCTGAAAGATCGTCACTCATCTCGCATCTCATTCACGGTCACCTGCATTGTGCTCATCTGGGCGGTCATTTGCCCCATGTAGTCGTGCATGCCAGTCATCTGGGTGGACATCTGGCCCATGTACTCGTACATGCCATCCATGCGCTCCCACGCACGCTGTAAGGTGATCGGTGGAGTTGAACTCTGTGCCTCCGCCATTGGCTCGTCTCGAGCTCCTTCATCACCATCATCATCCTCATCATCATCATCATCACCACCATGAGCATTGTTTACTCTGACATACTCACCATTACGCAGCTCAAAGCCCATCTTTTTCAGAGATGAAACAGTATAGAACTCCTGCCTTGAGATTCTCTGCATCTTCTAATGTTTGGAACTCCATGGAAGGAATTTGTTGTTCATATTCAGTAGCTTCTTCATCATCCATAAATTCTTCTTCAGCACCCTCGGTTTCATTATCATCCCCAACCACTTCATCATCTGTATTATCTATATCATCTGAATTATCCATAGCTCCTTCTCGAGCATCCTTAGGTTCCTCATCGAAGTTAACCTCATCATCATCTCTATCATCTGTATCATCTCTGTTATCCATCCTGCAACGATCGGAATACGAACTTAATGTCAAAAACATACACAATTAGCTCTCGTCAGGTCGACCTGAATGAACTGTACGGTCGACCTTATTACTAAATAACAAACATGCGGTCGACCTGAATTTACTGAAAGGTCGACCTAATCACATAATTACAAAAGTACGGTCGACCGGATGGTGGAGGTGGTCGACCGGATGGTGGGAAAAATTTAACCACATACAACCATTAACAAGCCAATACGAGACATACCTTAGCAAAGAGGTCGACCACTTATTGTTACGGTCTACTGGAATAAAAATAAACCGCCACCAACACCCGATCACAATAAGAGCGATGAGATTACAACTTCACTCCAACAAATTGCATAAATCGAAGTACGATTAAAGTCTTAAGACTCCCATCTATTTATAGATAATGTAGACGAATTCCTTATCCATTTGGTGAAAGATATATAAAATCATAATTCGACAAGGACAAGTACACAAAATCCTAATTGTACAAGGACATGATTCATTACGGTCGACCTCTTTGCACAAATGGTCGACCGTCTTGGGTAAATGTGAAACAGGTCGACCTCTTTACTGAAATGGTCGACCATAGTTTATAAATGTGAAACAGGTCGACCTCTTGACACGAATGGTCGACCGTATTTTATTAAGGCCAAACAGACGAGATTCCATCCATATTCTACATGGTTTTTGACTTTGCCACGGTATCATAGGTCGACCTTAAGCGTCACGAGGTCGACCTGTGCTCTGCCTTTGGGTATGCTCGCTTTGAGTATGTGGTCGACCACTTGTTCTAGACGATTGAAATCGTAAATTCAGTCACATCCATAATTGTATAACAAATCTAATAAACGATAAACATTCAAAATCCAAAATGAAACGATCTCGCAAATACAAATTCAATGTATGGTCCAAATAATGCAACATTGTAACTTAACGACTTCATTTCTTTGCTTTTTTGTTCGAACTCTGTCTCTCTTTGCCTCGTTGCATTCATCTACTACATGCTTGAAAAGATTTTCTCGTGCACGGTTTTCAAAATGTGTAGCCAGATACCATAGAATCTCCTTTCGAGCCGGTAATTTGTGTACTTCTCCTATCTGCATTATGCCATGTAAGATTTCGTGACAACTAAAAAAAGTGTAAATTAAACAAGTTATTTGTTTGACGATATACTCACCACTCTATCAAGATCCTTGGATCCATAGCGCATCCACTGCATGACGTACACACCACACTCAGTACTATTCCTTTTGCCGTTGAACTCGTAGCTCATCAAAATTGAAATCTCCAAAATTTGGTACTCCTACATTGCTCATGCGCTCCGGTTTGAAAATATCATCCAAATTGGACAACTACACACAAATAACGGATATTTTAAGTTTCTAGCATAATACGTGACGCTTAACAGTCAGAAAATTATAGGAAACACTTACCAATTTCTTGCATAGTGCTGATTTACGCATACGATTCGCCTCACTAGTTGAAGGTAGACTGTCAAGCAAAAATGCAGTTTTTTGCTGGACATTGACGAGATACAGAAACCAATGACGTGCTTCATCGTCAAGAACTGGCATAAATATCTAGCAACGAAACACTCACTATATGTCATAAACAGCGAATACAAACAAATGCACTTTCGAAATTTAATGATATAGGGACATTGACTAGACTAACCTTCTGGCATGCACTGACATTCGGCATAAAGACCACTCCATCATTCATCAACTTGTTACGAATTTGTCTGGTCTTCATGTTAGCGCGTACCATTTTCTGCACCATGTTTTAGTTGAGATGAATTGACATGGTACAATATAAATAACTAGGTTATGACAAATAATTTGACATTACGGCTCTTACCGAAAACATATTTGGCAAATACCACACATTTGGCTCTTTCACATCATGTTTTTCAGACATTGTTAGTGCCCTTGCACACAAATCCACTACCTACCATCCAACAATCAAACACAAAATCATCGTAAATCGTAACATAAATAGTGCACAATTCATACGAAAGTCGTAGTAGTATAGTACTTACTGATGAGCAAACCCAGCTATTCTCGCTAATGACCAAACTCAAATAATGTCGTTGCACGTTTTCAGAAAAAAAGTCCACAACGGTCAAACTGCAAAAATCAAAATAACAGAAATGTCAATTGTGATTTGCAACGTACAGGTCGACCTGTTCACAGTCACGGTCGACCTTATTGGACAAACGGTCGACCTCATGACCTAAACGGTCGACCACACGTACTAAAAAACGTCTTACTTGTCCCAATTCTTGTCCCCTGCCTTCTCTTTAGTAACAACATAATACAAGTCTTCAACTGGATTTTGAAGATTTTTGGTGAATCCTTCTAGACCCTCCACTTTCATGACCTACAAATCATAGTTAAAATTAAAGTAACATATGAACACAAACACACATTATAGATGAATATGTAACGTAAACTTACCCCGTGCTTTTCGAAAGGACTCTTAGATTCATCTTCATCGCTATCATTACTAAATAATCCTTTTCTTACAAATTGATCCTTCTGTGGAGTGGTGTAAGAGTCACTTTCATATCGCGGTCTCTTGTACTTAGGAGAGGAACCCTTGCTGCCATTCGTTGTTTCACTCTGTCAAACATATAAACAATACAAATTAGCACTAATGATAGTAATACTAATATCTTCAATCACATATGAATATACTTGGATACCTTTAAAATGTGCTCTTTCAATAAATCGTCTATGCTCTGGTAGCAATTTTCAGAGTCATCATGGTCTTCTTCCTCTTTACCAAAGTCAAATTTCTTTCCTTTACCATTTCTTCCGCCATTCTCCATTCGTTCTGCACTTATATCATTGATAGCACCTTCTAGCCTCTCAAACCCGTCATGCATCATCCCAGTCATATCTGTCAGTCGAACTGACAATTGCTCCACTCTATCACGCATGGACTTCTGAAAGTCATTGACTTGTGTTTGACACACCACCAGCTTCTCTTGTGTGGCTTTCAACAATTTCATGATTTCACCCAAATCTTGATTCAGTTTCTCATCATGCGTCATCGTCTAAACAATTTAAAGAAAAATTTAAATCATAATTCAACTACAAATTTCTATAATTGACCAAAAAACAAAGACGTGGTCGAACTGACAAAGTATTAGGTCGACCTGGAAGACAAATAGTGACTACCACAACCATTAAGGTCGACCTCTATTATTCCTAGGTCGACCTATCCAGCAGGAAAATAACAATTAACAACAAAAAGTAAGTTCAAAATTAAACCGAAAAAAGGATAGGTCGACCAGATATCTGGCGCGGTCGACCTTTTCAAGCACAACATAGTCATACAAACAAAGCCAAAGTCGACATTCAGGTTGAATAACCAAAAAAACAGAAACGGTCGACCTTGAAACCCATTAGGTCGACCAATTGGGTTACCTCGTAAGTACAGAAGTCCAAGTGTTGTGGCCTAAATTCAAATACGTAGAATTGTCTCGTCAGGTCGACCTGGTTGACGTCACGGTCGACCGAATGGAATTCTGCACCCAACAATATATCAAATTAGCCGGTGGAAATCACGCATTATAAAAGAAGACGGCGAATGCTACATTAGGTCGACCGCACCTTAGACCTGGTCGACCACTTCCAACACGTACAACAGCAACCGCGAACGATCTTCTTCACAAAGGCTCTTAATCGGAAAAAAACCTAATTCAGACTTGGAGGCGTTGAAGGGGACTTATATTCGTATTTATAGAGATTTAGGACGTCAATGGGTCGACCCAATTCGTTTCCTTGTCCAATTGTGGAACCTTTCTAGTGTTGGAATCCATATCCAATACGGATACGGTGTGAAGGCGGTCGACCTCTTCATAATGCGGTCGACCTGTTAGGTGCACAAGGGTCGGCCTATGAGATATTTGGGTCGACCTTTCATTCTGTTAGACCACCAAAGCGGTCGACCGTATTATGTAAGAGGTCGACCGCGTCTCGGAACCCCACATACATGAATTAGTCCATTCGGTCGACCGCATGTTGGATTAGGTCGACCGAAAAGTCCATGTCACGGTGACATGCATGTCACCGTAGCAAAATCCTAACTATTTTAGTTATTTTATTATTGTATTATTAATTAGGGACGGGTTGGTGTGTTTCTACAGTATATTACTCAGTGATTATCTATATGTGGACCATGAATTATACCAAGGTTGAAGTATGATACTATACCCTAACCTGTAATGAATAAACCCTAGGCGCCAATTCTCTAAACCCAAATCTGAAATTCAATTTAATAGAAAACAATATATGACCATTGAAATTGATCGGACCTCATCGAAGTACATCTAACGGTCAGATCACTTGGACTTATTTATATATCACATTTTTCCGAAGTACTTTTTCCTTCACTTTTTATAGGGCTGGAAAAGATTGCGGTTTATATCATATCAAAAGATTGCGGTTTATACCTTCACTTTTTATAGGGATGGAAAAGATTGCGGTTTATACCAGACCAAGAATTTGGAACATAGACTAGGGACCATACCAAATATTACACCGTCCATACCATATCATGCATGTACGATTTGGTCTGGCACGTCTGGACCATGCAGACAAAAATAAACAGTTGGCTTGGTCAACCACACGAAATATCGAATCAAGAATAGAGAAAAAAAATTGTTTTCCTCTTAAAACATAAATTTAAACGCGCATGCATAACTTCAATAACATAAATCCAAGTCAATAACAAAAACACAAAGTCGTAGCAATCCAACATGCACCATATTGTTATAAACATTAACATAATGTCATATGGAGACATGATTGTTACTACTCTGTGGCGAAGTGTGGTTAATGAATAAAGGAGTGGACGAAATACGCAACTAACACGAATTGGTAGATTTTAGGAGTTTTGGAGAGTGGACTACTAAGAATTGGTAGATTTGTTTCTTATCCATAGAGATAAAAACACATTGCACTCCAAAAAAGAAAACAAATATCATTACACGATGAATGCTCGGAACAACAAAGATCCAAATAAGGTACCGTTTGCTTTGTGAAATTTGGGTGATCTATTTGGCACCCAAATTTCAAGCATTATGTATTTGTGAAAATAGCATTGTTTGTTGAGGTATACAAATCTGTGGGTCCCACGGATTTGGTCCTTTTTATAGCTCCAAATTCATGGACCCACGTATTTACAAATACCACATTTCATTTGGTATTTGGTCATGAAAGGCAAGGATTTGTGAGCCATGGTACAAAAACCTTTAAATCTATGATCAAAATCAACGAAATAAACAATGTTATCTTTCATATACAAAATGCAATAAATCCATCATAAATTCAAAGGTTTTCAAGATTCAAAAACTTCATTTTTAAATCCAACAAGCAAACAAGCCTTAAATTGACGAATCTGCCAGTGTGTTGAATTCCACAGCATTATGGATCAAGCCTTAAATTGACGAATCTGCCAGTGTGTTGAATTCCACAGCATTATGGATCAAACCTTTGCACACCCGCTACAAGAAAGCAGCAAAGCCAGATCACATGTCCAAGGCTTTTTAAGCTTTGGCATATAATACAGGCAAATCAATAAGGCTATGATACAACGAACCAATTATCACTTCAGTCGTTTCTGCGCATAACTGTAGGCAGCAACATGTTGGTAACGACTGAACAACATGAGCTAGCAGGAACGTATAAACTGAAAAGCATGGCAAGTGAGAGTTTACAGCAAATGCTTATGTGTTTCGATCCAAAGATCACATTCAAAAACACAATGACATTGCAAAGAAAAACAAACACAATACACTTATTCTCAGCAATCTCACCACAATCCTCAGTAACTACAAGTTTTGGAAGGTGGTACCACTTATTCTCAGCAGTCTCACCACAATCCTCAGTAACAAGAGTTTTGGAAGAGCGGGTACCACTTTCAGACCCAACATTCTCTCATCTCTTCAAGGAAACCCCCGAAAAATCCTTCAATAAATGGCGAACGCCGGCATACACATGATAGGACATGGCTAAGGCAGCAAGCTCAGCGGAGACTAGGGTGAGCTTCGACGAATAGAATAGGAACTGGTAGAAGTTCTCAAAGGTGAGACAAAGAGGACCCGTCTTCAGACAAAGCATATAGAAAGCCAGCACATTAGCCGTCAGGAAAGCCCCCGAGATTCTGTTGGAGATTGAAGACGTCGAACTAAGCTGTGGCTTGTAAACGGGGAGATGAGGAGATAAGGGGCGAAGGACGTGCTTGGGGTCCAGCGACTGAGAGCCATTCGTGGTGTTTGCAGCTGCAGCACTTGCCATTGACCTGGTGAAGTCTCCACCCTGCAGAGACATGAGACTAGGGATGATACGGTGGCTGAAAGCAGAGCCCTTATAGTGATCAAGAGACGTCCCAGGTCTTCCAATACGCCCGAGATTCGTAGCCCTACTAGCATTCATCCTACGGACAAAGTCAAACAAGACCTTCGGATTCTTCGACATCTTGTTTAAGATCTGAAAGAATCATCATCAGAAAAACCAGTTCAAATCCAAGACTCATCCATTCGGGAAAAAACATGTTTGAAAGTATATGGCAGCAGCTAAATAGTGAAGAATGTCTGTGCTTTTACAACAAATGGAGGCTGTTATTGCAAACTTGTTCGAGGCCTTGTTCAAAATATAAAAGAGATTTTATATGCACGGAGAATTGCTAATTCGTTATTCCCAAAATTCAATGCAAGCTGTGCCATTGTCAACACTATTGCTCTGCAAATTGGCGATCTAGCCAGCAAACAAACTAAAGGATCGTTTCACAAGCACATAATCAGCCCAAATCTAGAATACATGGGTTTCTCTATATTACTAGAGGCGAATATAATGTATTTCCAACTCATGCAATCTCACAATACCAATTCACCCAATGATGCGAGACCCAAATCACAATTCTTGGAACCAAATCTCACAGTTCTTGAAACTTGAAACCTATGTAATGCACCCGCAAATTGGCTTCTCGAGGACCATAACAGCAAGCAACGAGGAGCTCGCTTTATGAAGAAAACAGGCACTACTGGGTAAATCAAACGAAAGCTTTTCGGTTCAAGGGGCTTCTAGATTTATTGATTTTGCACAAGCTTTGAGCTGACAGTTCAACGACAGGACAAAGGCTCCTGCATGCCTTCGATTGGTGCTTCAGGGCATACAAATTCAAGCACCCATATTACAATAGAGTCTAAGGAACTGCGCGACGAACGAAATAGCGCAGAGAGAGGGAGAGGAAGAGCGAAGTGTTCGATATCGTACCTTTCTCAGATCGAATCCGGGTGGTGAGAACGATGATGATATGGGTAGAAGGAGCGTTTCTAAGGGTGGGATGTATATATGATCAGCGGAAAATGGGTTCTAGGGTTTGATCTTACGATACCCAATTCACCAAAATTTTCCTAGAGAGCGAATTCGATGGAGACGAAACAAGACCCAAAAAGAGGGAAGGTGGACTTCTCCAGATTATCATCGTTATAGCTATTTATATTTGTTGCCATTATCTATGAAATAAATTTAAAAGTAGTTAATATAATTAATTTTCCATCTACTACTATTACAAAATTTTGTCTAATATGTACCTCGTTATTTTCTTTGTCAAACTTGTCACTTTATTATGATCACATTCTCAATTTTACTTATGTTGTCTATCCAAAAACTTCATCGTGGATGCAAGCGGCGACAACAAATCTATGTTATCATCCATTTTTTCCTTAATTTAGCATATCGAACCTAGCATCGAGCAATATGAGAAAAAAATTTGAGTTGACCAATTAATCAATGCGATATAGGCTAGGCAAAATTTATTTTCTTGTTACGCATCGAGCATTTTACATGTAATATGTTTCATTTTCTTGTTTGTCATCTTAACAAAGTCAACCACGATAAGAAGTTTACTTTGCAATCAATGTGTAACATATTATTTATTTATTGGCAATGTTGTCCACTCGTAGTTAGACCAGTCAATTGGACCAGATTCGATGAAAGCCGGTGCTGAAAATGGCCACCAGAAAGTCGTTGTCCCTCCAAATTGGCTATAACTACCCAAAAAAAAGAACCAATTTTATTACTAGTTTGAGGCTGTAAGAAAGAATGTTGTGTTTTCGTCCCCTGGCCCTCCCATACCGGGTTAAAGACACATTTGGTCACTGAGATTACTAAATCGGGACATTTTTAGTCACTAGAAAAAGTTACTATCAAATTTGGTCACTATAATTGCTAAAACATGACACATTTAGTCACTCGCCGTTAGTTGCCGTCCAACTCCGTTAAAAGAGTCTGTTATGTGCTGACGTGTCTAACGTGAGCGCCTAGTCAGCGCCGTTTTGGGCCGGAAATGGTCAAACCCGACCCACCACGTCACTAAACCCGACACGTAATAAATCCAACCCAATCCATTAACCCGACCCGACCCAAAAATAAACCCTAACCCACCTAACCAAACCAGAGCCCTCTTAGAAAAAACAAAATTGATCAGTTTCCATTTGCATACCCGAAAACACTTCTCCTTACTCGAGAGCCCTTTCCCTTCGCCATTTTCGATCAACCTAATCAGAGAGCAGAGAGTAGGGGTGTCAATTCGGGTTCGATTTTTCGGGTTTACCCGAAACCGACCCTATTATATACATTTTTGGTTTTTCGGGTTCGGGTTCGTTTCGGGTTTTTGGTTTTTCGGTTTCGGGTTCGGTTTTGCTTATCGGTTTTTTGGGTTCCGGCTAAAAACCTCCAATGAATAGAACTCAACCCGTATTATTAGGCTTTCGGGTTTTTGGGTTTCGATTTTGCTTTAACCGAACCCGAACCCGATAAGGAATTTTCGGGTTTCGGGTAACCAGAACTCGCAAGTCCTTATCGGGTTCGGGTTCGGTTTTAGTTATTTTCGGTTTTGGTTTTTCGGGTTTCGGTTTGGGTAACCGAACCCGACCCGAACTGACACCCCTAGCAGAGAGCAGGGAGAGATGGAGCCATTAACGCTACCCCCTTGACCCCTTTGTCCCAGCAACCTCCTTCGAGTCTTGGAGGTTGTGCTTTCTTATGTATACCCATAACTGCTTAACAATCTCAGTCCTGGGAAGAGCAGAGTGGCCGACTACAACTTGAAGTTTCGGCGAGACCCCACAGAGCTTGTTCAAACCACCCGCCCCCGCCTTTCCTCTTACCCTTACTATTCTCCTTAGGAGACTCGAGGGGAGCACCAGCAGGTGCAGGGGATTCCAAATTGACGGAGCCGGGGGAGTGAGATGGAGGGAAGCCGGAAGAGAGGAAGAAGTTGGGGGTTTGGTGGGGGAGTATAACAGTCATTGTAAGAGGGTGGAGGAAAGGGTTGGTGTTGTTGTTGCTGCTGAGGCGGCGGTGGGTAGCCGGAAGAGAGCAAGAAATTGGGGGTTTGGTGCGTTGGAGGGTAGCCCTAAGAGAGGAGGAAATTGGGAGCGGGATAGTGAGGGGCATAACGGTCTTTGTAAGACGGCGGCGGAGGAGGAAAGGGTTGTTGCTACTGCTGGTGCGACGGCGGCGGTGGATGAGTTTGTTGGAAGAGGAGTTGTTGTAGCTGGGATCGAATGAAGTCGAGCTTGGGGGAGAGGTCGACACCGAGTTTGGACTGGAGGTGGTGGACGATGACGGTCATGGAGGTGAGAGGGCCGGCGGCGGAGGATTGGGACTGGGAAGTGGAATAGTCGTGAAGGAGGAAGTGGAGAGGTTGGGCTCTGGTCTGGTTAGGTGGGTTAGGATTAATTTCTAGGTCGGGTTGGGTTAATGGATTGGGTTGGGTTTATTAAGTGGCGGGTTTAGTGACGTGGCGGGTCGGGTTGACCATTTTTGGCCCAAAACGGTGCTGACTAGGCGCTCACGTTAGCCACGTCAGCACATAACGAACTCTTTTAACGGAGTTGGACGTTAACTAACAGCGAGTGACTAAATGTGTCCTGTTTTAGTAATTATGGTGACCAAATTTGATATTAACTTTTTCTAGTGACTAAACATGTCCCGATTCAGTAATCTCAGTGACCAAATGTGCTTTAACTCCCCTCCCATACCTATTTAGAAAAATAAAGTAAATATACACTCTAACACAACTTTTAGGATAAGTGATATAGTAATTGTTTATTTTATGTTATCTATCAAATTAGGTTTGGATGGATAGGACCAGTTGGATTCGGTTGTGGGAGGCTAATATTCCACTTAAGTTAAAGGTGTTTGTTTGGCAGCTCCTAAATCGAATTTTACCAACTATGGAAGCTCTCATTGGGAAGAAGGTCCCGGTGCACCATCGATGCCCGGTTTGCTGGGAGAGTCCGGAAACGATGGAGCATTTGTTTCTAAATTGTCCTGTGGCACAGGCCCTGTGGGGCTATTCGGGGCTAGAGCATTTAGGGGAGGGGCTTCCTCCTCATACCTTCCCTCTCTTTCTTAAAAGGCTAATGGCTTTAATTCATCAGCCGCCGCTTTTCATGGGAATGGTTGCCGTCCTTTGACGGATCTGGCGGTCTCGGAACTGGGTGGTCTTTGAGGGTAAGCAGTTTGAGATCCCTGTTTTGATGCGCCAGTTTGCCCAGTAGTATGAGGAATGGGTGTGGCTAACGGTGGATAAAGCTTTTCATGCCGCTGATCCTATGGCACAACAACCAGGGCTGGTGGTTCATGCTGGGTTGTTTGCATGTGGGATAGGGCTACTAGGAGCGGCTCTCACTCGCCGGGCGGGTTAGTCCTGATGACCCCTTCTCGGGAAGTCCTTCTGGCTAAAGGGGTTCAATTTCCGATAATTGATGACCCCATGGTGGTGGAATTGTTTGTCCTCCGTGAGGGTATTCTTTGGTGTCTGGATCGGGGCTTCACGGACGTCAGTTTTGAAGGGGATGCCAAGGTGATCATCGACAAGATCATGCGGGTCGATACAAGGGACAACCGGTTGGGTGCGATTCTGGAAGAAGTGGTGCTGGGTTTTTCTAGTAACCCCGGGTTTAGTGTTCGATTTGTAGGTCGAAGTAGTAATAGGGTAGCCCATTTGGTGGCTAGAAAGGCCCTTTCTTTGTACCCGACTATGAGTCATTTTTCGATTTTCAGTCCTGGCTGAACTCCAGGATGTAACTGCCTATTATTTGAATCAATTTATGATTATTTTTTGTAAAGAAAAAAAGATTCAGATTATTACAATCTTAAATTACTACCATATATAGCATATATTTCTATAAAATGACTTAATTTGGTCAAACCACGATTCAACCAATAAATCTCATATTTCGCTTCATCGGTCCAACGGGTTAAACTGGTTTGACAACCTTGGAATTAGCCATATTTCTATGTCATACTCTCTTTAAATTTTGAAGGGTTAATTGCATTGTTGGTCACTAAGATTACAAAAAACGTTCAAATTTGGTCACTCAAAATATTTAAATTCATTGGTGGTACTTAAGTTTACTGAAACCATTCACGTTTGGTCCCTCTCCATTAACTTTTGCTTACGTGGCGGTCAACTCTAAAAGTTGACCGTTAAATGTGTGACGTGCCAATTTAAAAATAATAAAAATAAATTTTTAAAAATTTTCAATCTCATTTTCACCTCATTATCACTTTTATTTAAAATAAATAAAAAACCCTAATTTCTTCTAATCCCCAATACCAATGATGTTTGCAGCAGTACTACTTACAACGGCGGGGTATGCTGCCAGCAGGCGGGATAACGGACCCACGACGGCGAATTAGGGTAGTAGTGCAGAAATTGAATGTCCAAGAAGTAGAGGGTGTCGTGGTACGACGTCCCCTGGCTCCCGGCAATGGCCGCGGTCAAGAGATCGATCCGGTTCTCGTAGACCTGAACCCAAATCGAGTCTGGCAGGTGCTTCTCCAGGATCTCCATTCTCGCATACTCTGCTTGTGCGCGTCGGTGGAGATGTTCGGAGGGCAGTTTGTCGGGTTCCGATGCTTGGTCAAATAGGAGTGTTCGGATGCGTCCGCCGCCACGTCGATTCGCGGGAAGGCGCCACCGTCACTGGACATTGTCGGGGAATTGGGAGGGGGGGCTTTTGGGGAACTCGAAGAGCGTGAAGATACCTAGGTAATTACGACTAGTAGTGAGGTGAAGAGGAGTCATGGGGAAATTCGCGTCTTCTTTTGTGGCGGCGAGGTATGCAAATTTATTTAAAATAAATAAAATTGTCATCTCATTTCGCCTGCTTGCGACGTCGAGGTATGTTGCCGGCGAAATATTGGTATTGGGGATTAGAATAAATTAGGAGTTTTTATTTATTTTAAATAAAAGTGAAAATGAGGTGGAAATGAGATGGGAATTTAAAAAAAATATTATTTTTAAATTGTCACGTCACACATTTAACGGTCAACATTTAGAGTTGACCGCCACGTAAGCAAATGTTAACGGAGTTGGACAGAGAGTGACCAAACGTGAATAGTATCAGTAAACTGAAGTACCACCAATAAATTTAAATATTTCGAGTGACCAAAATTAAACTTTTTTGTAATCTCACTGACCAACATGAAATTAACCCAATTTTGAACATTAATTTTATTCGAAAGTCTATCTTTTTACCATCAAACATAACGAAACTCCATCTCAAAAGAACCTTTACCATAAAATAATTTGTATGCATTATTGGAAAATAATTAAAAATGATTTTTCAAACAAAATTGAAGAGTCACGAAAATTAAATTTACCGTTGTACCATTATTGTGCTAAATCTATGAACAAATCAGAAATCGGTGGTTTTATTCATTTTATTCAGCCATCGCCTCGGAAAACACTAAACAGCCTCAACTTCTAACAGTCGCGTATCTTCTCAGTTTCTCGCCGATTACCCAGAAGAATAAATTCTTCCTTTCTCCTTCCCATAAACACTCTCTCTCTCTTTCCCTCTCCCTCCCAATTTTTATGCATAATTTTCAAATCAGATCTCCGGTCACTATCCTCCCCGGCCGCCGGCCATGGCCACTCCTACCCTATCCGCCGCAAACGATTCTACTCCGGCGATCCCAACTCCTCCTCCACAACCCCTCGAGAACGGCAATCCAATCAGAATAAGAAACAACAAGACAACGAGGAAGAAGAATAAGAGCAAAATATTGTCGGTAGACGAAGCTTCTTCCTCGTCCTCTGCAACTTCTACTTCATCATCATTCAGCTCTGCCCAGAGAAATCCGCGGCCCGCCGGCGTGCCCCGTCGCCGGAAGTTGGTGGTTGCTCCGTTACGGCGAAGTCGCGGGGATGGTATTCGTGGGGAGAACTTGGACGCCGTTGCACTCCCTCTCGGCATGTCTTTTGCTGCTGTTATAGCGCAGGTTCGTCACATAAAAGGGGGAAAACTCTGCTTTGTCTTGTTGAAGGTTTTTCTAGCTTCAAAGTCTGAATCTTTAGTGGTTCCTGCTGTCTGGGTATTTTAGTACTCCCCCGTTGAATGGTTTGGTATTTCTCCGCAGAGAAGAACAATAAAGTTTTGATTTTTATTGCTGAATGCTGATTACTGCAAACAGTTCAATGATGTTTTGCTTGCTGCTGTAATGGGTTTACATCCGATGGGAACGCTGCAGTTTATTTAAAGCTTCATTATCGAGATTCGGCTACGAAACTTGCTGCCGAGACTTGAATTGATGGTCTCGCTGAACTGATGTTCTAATCTCACTATGGCTTTTGTGTTACGTTGAACGTCATTACTTGGTTGAACCTGAAATTACAGTTTGTCTTAGATGCATACGAGATACTGTTTGCAGTAGTTTCTTGATTATGTTCTTCAGTTGTTTAATATTCATTCGAATATCTCTGCTTTATGGGTTGATTTGAGATGGATCGTCTATTTGGCCAACAACATCTGCTGATGCCTCTGTCATTCCAGAGGCAGAAGTTTCTCCCATTTGTGTCTCTCTCAAACTGGAGCAAAAATCCTTTCCCAATCTTGATTTCCTCTGAACATCAAAGGTGTGGAACATAACGCATTGACCGGTACTACAAGCCAAGCTGCATACATATGCTGTAGACAAGAGACCGGTCCACGAATACCTAATCTTTCACATGAGTCATTACTGTTTTATAGACAGCATGTGGTTCTGTTCTGGACTTGGTGATGATTGTGGAGTGATTAATTTGGATGTGGTTATCCTGCTCTTGTTGTTGTCTATCTATCTCCCTAGGTTTTGGAGAGGAAAGAGGCTGAAGGCGAAAGGATGATGTCAGCCGAGCTCCTTTCAGCGGTAAGATTCAGGCCTTCTGCTATACTCACTACACATTTTGTTTTCATGTCCCACTGGTCTTTCATCTGTGTTCCAAATGTTATCCTCCTTTCATTTGTTGAAAATGGATTAGTATCATGTAAAATTCAAATGGACTAACCTTATTTTTTCCTTCGTGTTACATATATGCTAATAAGTGTAACAATAGTGTAATAGCAGTTGCGAACTATAGATCTTATGATGTTGTTTTCACGGTTACATTAATTTGAAAACAGTTTGAAATGTAAGATCGCAACTGAAGATAGTTATTTCTTTACCTGCAGATATGCACCACTGCTGTCAGAGAATCTTTAGCAAATGTAAGCACCCAAACTTCTTCGTGTGATTATGTTGAGGTGGTGGAGTAGAAGATTCTATAAAAGGATGCAGATAAGTATGCTCGATCTGACTGCCTATGTTATAACAGGTTTTTGGCGATAAATTTGAATTATTCGCTAACAACTTCCAGCGATCATTTCGGAGCACATTAAGGACTCTTCGAGTGATCAATGAATCATCTTTCCATATACCTGATCGTAGTTCGAGCCACCTGAATGCCAATAAGTTCAATCGTGATGTATTTTCTGAGAACCGAATTGTCTCTACAAGTACCGGAAATTTTCTCAATGAGTCGGACTTGCCAGTCAGTTCAGTGTTCAATCAACTGAATTCAGCTGAAGAAAGAGAGGGCCAGCTGTCAACAATTTCCTTGACCCAGGAACTCACCCTGCGTGACCATGACAACCGACTGACTTATACTCCTGGGTCATTTGGTTCAAGAACGGAGTTGAGCACCATAGAGAGGTCTGTCGTTGAGCAATCTCGTTCCAATGACCTAAAGGCTTTGGAGATTGCTCTCTCGATGAGAAGACTGAAGTTGAAAGAGGAACAGATAGCTCTTGGGTTGGATTCCAATAGACTCGAGAGGTCTAAATTAGCAATGGGTGTAGACAAGGCTTCTTTCAGAGCTGAAAAGTTCAAGGCCCAACTAGAAGACACGAAGCATGCTGAGCTGCTTCGGAATTGCACAGATTGCCTTGTTGCTGGTTTGTTCTTCATGTCGGGATCCCTCTCGTATGGTGCATATGTTTATTCATATAGAAGGATTGCAGAAGCTACCGAGTCTTGTACTACTCCTTTTGAGGTCAGAAACCTGTTCTCTTACCCTGCCTTGAATTGTTTTCGGTTTATCGCATGATGCAGTATTAGCACTTAGCACCAATAGGGTCTACGATGACTCTGCACGTTATAGGACAACCGACAACGGAAGACTAAAGTGTCGTTGTTCTTTTAGTTTTAGAATCATCAATTTATGGTTCTCTAGGATGCTGTTCATTGTGGTTGTCAAAATGTGGGGTTTTTCCCCCTAAAATCGAAAAAAAAAGTACTGGAAATTGTTGCATGTAAAGATCAAAACAGAATTTTAGCAGCACTGGAGTGACAGTTGAGACTTGATTGAAAGTTATTTAAGCTTGAGCATCTTCTGGATGGCTGGGCTTACAATTTTCATCGGTAAACAAAAACCTCAATTCGTGAGTAGGATACTGATCTAAATGGTTTTATGATTGCTCTGAGATGGCTATCTATCTAGAATCATTGATCCATTGTTTTTTCTCCCTTTGCAGGAAACCAAGTCATGGTGGGTCCCGAAATCATTCTCCTCCTTCAACTCCAACCTCCACATTCTCAAGTGCCAAGCCCAAGTCGTGAGCAGAATGCTATTTGGATTTCTAATGATCCTCTCAGTCGCTTACCTCCTCCTCCAACGGTCCACCTCTGCGCAACGGTCGACAATGCCGATAACCTTCATCCTACTTCTGCTCGGAGTGATGTGCGGCTTTGCTGGAAAACTCTGCGTCGACACACTAGGAGGGGACGGCCTCTGTTGGCTCTTTTTCTGGGAAACCATATGCTCCATCCACTTCCTCGCCAACATGTTCACGTCTACCGTGTTTCGTGTACTCTGTGGGTCACTCCACATCTCCCCAGGAGGGTCCAGACCTCGTCGGAGAATAATATTATGGCCATACTGGCTTCGAAGAGCAGTTTTCTACACCGTCGTGCTGCTGGTCTTGCCATTGTGCTGTGGGCTACTGCCATTTGCCGGGTTAGTGGAGTGGAAGGATCATTTTGCGATGCTTGTTATGGATTGTATGCCGGAAGGTGCAAGCCGCCTTGCTACCACAATGACAATGTTAGACGATGAAGGTTTTTGCCCGATTCGTTGGTAATGTGTAACATAAAGACTTCTGTCATGGGGATGGATGTCAGGCTGATGTAGTGAATGCTTAGAGTTACTGATTTTGGGAGGCAGATCGTGGGGAGTCTTTAGGGGTTTTATTTATAGAGGGCTGATTCAGTTTGTCAGCAGCAGCAAGCAACAGTTGAAAAATGTTGAGTGGGTAAAACTGTGTAGTGTATCCTTTTGTACTGACGTATAATCGTAGTGGTGACTGGTGATGAAAGAACACTGTCCTTTTGTATCATCTTGTTGTTGTTGAATAAAAGGATCTTTTTTCCCCCGATAATGAAACAACAATCGGTTTAATAAAGACTGTTCGATCACATATAAAGATCATGATGAAATTATTGAGTTGAACTCTCATTAAAACACTACACTTCTAAGCTATGACCTATGAGAATAAATTGAAACTGATAGTCAATGAGATCTGATAGTCAAAAATTGTATTTGTAGCAGTGCAAAATATGTTTCATTAATCAGAAAACACCAAAAAGCACTAACAAAAACACAAAGCATAGACAAATTTTAAAACAACACATCTCAAAACAAAGCCAGAAAATGAAGTTTATAATCTCCGTTGGACCGAAAAATAGCCTACACAATGGACTAAAATTACCCCCAGTTTATACCAAGGATTAAAATACAGTACCGTACTGGTGGTTCGACCGGAAAAACCTCCTACCGGAAGTAAAATCGGTGAGCGATATTTAGCGGTATAATACGGTTGAACCATGATTAAATCACGATTTTAACATAAAATAACCTACCATTGACTTTTTCGGTACGAGCTCCGGTACGGTATTTCAATCCTCGATTTATACGTCAATGGTCAAAAAACGTATAAAAAATGGCCAAATATGTAACAAAAATTAGCATTGTCTCCACCGTATGGCTCTCTTCATCCATTATAAAAAAGGGGGAAAATCTCAAGTACACTAATTATTATAAAAAAAAATTCAAAACACATTAATTATAAAAAACAATTCACAATGTACCCATGTTTCTTCATCACTGCCGTGATCAACAACAGTGAACATATTCACTGTCGTTATTAACAACGACACCGCCGTAAAGACAAGCGGTTAACATATCACTGTTTTTAACAAAAACGATGAATACATCACCGTTTTTCGCAAAGCGGTGAATACATCACTGCCGTTGACGAGGGTGGTGATTTCCTTCACTGTCTTAGATAATGGCGGTGAAGGTGAAACATGCGTAGATTGTGATTTTTTTTTTATAACGTTTGTATTTTGTAAATTTTTTTAAAGAAATAGTGTATTTTGGAAATTTTTTAAAGAAATAGTGTATTTTGGAAAAAATTTAAAAAAACCGTTGGATCCTTATTTTTTAAGGTGGGTTTGGATTTATAATTCTCAAAATCGTAGTGTATGGGCCGGGTTATTAAAATGACTAAAATCGGACTACCCAACCCATGTACACTCCTACCTGAAATGTGAAAAGTACTCTTCAATTTATATCTTGAGGAAACTCGATTAATAAACAACCGGATAGTAATTCTATTACTCCTCGCTTTGAATTCCATTTAATCTGAACTCCATCAATGATCAATCCATGAAACTCCGTTCGAAAGAAGGGAGAAAATTGGGTAGGAAAAGGCAGAAGGCAAATTTGAGGGAGTAAAAATTTGAGGATAGTGAATCAATGAGAAAAAAATAGGTGTTCAATTTTGAAGGAAAAAAAGGAGAAAAAAAGAGGTTCAATAAGAAACAACAATTGTTCACCCCAAAATAATCACTCCCTTGTATTGTGACAAAATTTATGAACAGGAGAGGAGAACAGTTCCGGATCCCTCCATTTTCTCATAATTTTTTCCTCATTTTCTATTTTCTCTATTTTCGTGAACAGAAGTCGAAAGAACCACAATCTAATTGTTAACTTTATGTTAGGATTAGGATTCGAGTTAGAAGGTTATATCTTGAGGAAACTCGATTAACAAACAACCGGATTGTAATATATATGTCAGAGTTAGAATCATAGTTGGCAATTCTATTACTCCTCTTTTTGAATTCCATTTAATCTAAACTCCGTCGATGATCAATCCATGACACTCCGTTCACGAATGAAGAGAGAAAATTGGGTAGGAAAAGGCAAAAGGCAAATTTGAGGATAGTGAATCAATGAGAAAAAAATAGGTGTTCAATTTTGAAGTAAAAAAGAAGAGGAAAAGAGGTTCAATAAGAAACAACAATTGTCTCACCCCAAAATAATCACTCTCCTGTATTGTAACAAAATTTATGAATAGGACTATAGGAGAACACAGTTCCGGATCCCTCCATTTTCTCATAATTTTTTCCCCGCTCTCTATTTTCTCTCGTGAACAGAAGCTGTAAGAACCACAATCTAATTGTTAACTTTATGTTAGGATTAGGATTGTAGTTAGAAGGTTTTAGCGCACAACTAAAACACACCAAATCCAAAAGGATCAAGCTGTTTCTACTTCAATCGTGCTCCTGTCTAAGCCTAAAACGATTTTGGGTCACTTACAGAGTACAGAACAAACAAAATCAGTGCAATTAAGTTCGACAGGTACAAGTCGATTTGCAATTAAATCTATCAAAATGAGTACAGTTTCCATTCTGTAGATCCTCATCTATATTCTGAGTAAGAAGCAATTTGTAGGAGATAAATTTTCTTATGGGTTTAATGACAAACCCAAACTCAAAGCTACCCATAGCTCCCAAGAGCAAAATCCTCAAAAAAACATTGCAGAGATCTTACACATTCCTCCTCTATCTGCCTTGATAACTAATCTCTTCTCTAGAAACCTACAAGTTTTACATATTTCCCGGACTCTTGGAGGAAACCCCACAAGACTCTGCAATGTGCTTACAGACATTTGTAGTGATCTTACAGCAGAAGCAAAAAGAGAGGAGAAAAACTTTTCCTCGAATGCCAGGGAACGAGCTGCAAGTCCCTCGGTTCACATTGGTAGCATCCGTGGGCTTTAGATTAGATGAATGCTGCATCCCAATTGGCTGAGTTGAATGATCGGGCGGAGATCATTTCGATTATAGAACCTCGTGGGCCTTCCCATAATACCTATTGATGAAAGGAGACTGCAACCAAAAACCCACAGTTGATATTAGAGAGTATGAGAAAACATCGAGGCGCAACAATGTCATAAGATATGATCTATTAAGAGTTTATTTGAAGTAAAAAGAGCTGAAGCACTTGATGCACTAGCATGCACCTAGGAGGTTAGATTTAAAATTACTATACCTTAACTGCAGAAACATTAGGGGAATCATCAGTTTTCTTAGGGTAGAATTTGTAGAACTTCATATTCTCAAACGCAGCTCTGGCCTCTGTGCTCAATTCTTCCCTTGCTCTTTTCCGAGCTTCCCTAGCCTGCAGACAGAAAAGAAAATCTCTTTAAGGAACCAGCCCTGTCTGTCACAGTTGTATATCGAATAAAATAAATAATAATCGAGACAATCACCTCTCGGTTAGCCTTCTTGGATTCTCGAACTTTGCTTTTAACAAACTCCTGCACAAGCCAGAAATAAGGGGGGATGTTCAGCAGCTAACACATGAGATTGTGAATTCTTGGACCCTATAAAAACAGTCATTACCTTGAACTCATCCTTCTGACCTTCAGATAGTACCTCATCCTTTATCAGATTATCAGTGAATTCCTAAAGATAATGCAGACACACATCAGTAGTTTTCCAAATAACCATGCATATATTGGGAAACATATAAGGAGACAAAACACTACATCAAGTTTTTAGCAGCTGGACCAACCACTAAGGTTGCGGTCTTTTTAGCAGTTTACACATGATACTTCTAAATTATATTCCATCTTGCTTAGAATATTTTAAAATTTTGCTTGATTAAAGTGTAGAACAGAAAAAGTAACTATATAGAATGATACTACTCTTACCTCCAACTCATCCAATTCCCAATCAAACTCACATAAAACCTGAAAGTACAAAAAAAAAAAAAAAATAGGACGTTAGAACTGATATAAGTAGACATTTTTACCACATATGCAAATGGTTTTGACAAAATAGCAGAATCATCAGTTCCTATTTAGTATTTACAATATATTTCCAAGACAATAATCGGCAATGTGGATGGATCTGATGAGCTGCAACTAGCAAGTTATCAATTTAGTTGTCCTTACCGGCTTGTCCTCTGCTGGAAACACTATTTGGACCTCAGTGCTCTGGTCAAATTCGTCTTCCTTCAGTGGATGATAGAAGTCTGATCCAAATGATAAAACAAATTCAATAACATTATAAATCATAAAGCAACTTGGCTCAAGATACAGGGAAACTATATTTGAATTTCTGAACATCAGTTGTGTTCAAACTCACATGGAAGGCAGTATTCAAATTTCTTAAGCCGATCTATCTTCAAATGTCTCAAAGCAGCCCTGCAAAAAAAGTACGTGAATACCATGGCAACAACAAAAGCCATCAGCCTTATAAATGTGGTAAACATATAGCAATAAAAATCATTTGTTGCACCTATTAAATCAAAGAAAGACATTCCACCACTTATCGGATACTATTAGGTGTGGATAAATACCAACAGCCCAAATAGGAACAGGAGACGGGACAACTTAAAAAATGAGAGTGGAAGAACAGACTTGACGAAACTAAACCTTCTCTGAGTGCAGCTCAAGATGTAAACTTGAGATTTCAATCTGAGAACTTCTGTGTCCCTGTTTGAAGAAGAAAAGTTCAGGATTGAAGAACAAACTGGACAAGAATAATCAAAATTGACATAACAAACAAGAAAACATAACCAACCTGTTCTCCATGGGAATGTATGGGACCCAGTCCATCTTCATTTGTTTCATGGGAACTATTTCTTCCGTTTCCCTTTGAACCGAATTAATTCCCATCTTATCTGATGGCGGGAAAGGTGAAACAATCTGAGCAAGAACAGAACCAACAAACAGAAGAAAGTGAGAACTAGTCGACCCTTTGACATACCATCCATGTTACTAATGCGAAAAACAAGTTCAACAGTATGAAGTATACTTACCGCCACAATTGCAGGAACATTCATTACGTGGTTTTGGCCTTGGTAAGGGACCAATTGGGCTGCAGATCACGAGTAACAAAAGCAATTAGCTAAGTAACAGAAAAAATAGTGCGAGCGAGAACAAAATGCAATGGACAAGACAGCCAAAGAATACAGAATGATAAGAACAAGATTCATTATTTTAGAAGACATTTATCTCCCATGAAGAGAAGCGATAATAACCAGACGGGGAGATTAACATACGTTCAGTACAGCCAAAAAGATAAACTTTCTTGCCATGCAGAGCTCCTCCCTCTTCAAAAGATTCCTGAAACAAAAAAATTATTTTAGCATCTACACTGAGCATATATTTGGTGTTATGACTAAGAACATATATCTACAAAATAAATACAGGAAGCAGAAGAAAAAAGGTTATATGCAACTCACTTCCAGATTGGAGAAGTCCCAGTTGTACTTGTACAAACCATCCAATTGATCCCACTGCAAAGAAACAACAAACATGCAACTCTTAGTTCATAGTCAAAGGAAACGAGCAACCATAAATGCAGCAATGACAATCCATGTATTACCTCTGTCCCGACTGGGAATACAGCCTTCCATAGATCCTCCTGCACAACAAAGTTCGCATCTCGATTATACATGAAAAAGGCCCCAAAAGAAACTCAAGTGGCGGCAGTGATAAGGGCAAAGATATATAGTGCTCCGAAACTCCAAGCACAAAACAAACAGAAAAAAAACAGTAACCATAAAAGAAAACTCTCAAATGAAGGCCAAAGTACAATCAACATTCCAAACTTCACAACATGGATAAAGCTTTGCTAAGACAATTAACTCTCTAAGACTAATCCTAACCCCCAGTCAAAGAACTACCTGTATCAAACCCTGTCACAGATTAACCAACCAGCACCTGACAAAATTCCAAGTCTTTGATTCCGAAAACTCGCGACCCAAATAAAGCCCTAAACCAAATTCCACCCCATCAATGCCTGATCCCCCACCCACATTACCAAAACAAACAGCCCTTATCCGCAACCCAAACGAACAAAAAACCCCGAAACGAACAATCAGGCAGTTCATCGGTTTATAAGTACCATGTTCCGCTTCTCTTCGAAGTACTCCGGCTCGGGCTCAACCTTGGCCCGCTTAGCTCGAGGAGGACGAGCTTTACCAGCAGCAGCAGGAGGTGCCGCCTGCTTGTGATTCCCATCCGCCGCCGGCGCCGCAGGCTCTGCTTCCGCAGACGAAGAAGTAGAAGCTTTGGGCTCCTCGACGACGGCGACCTCCTTATCCTTCGTATCTTTCGTCGCCGCCTTCTCCGCTCGCTTTCTCTTAGCTCCCTTCCTCATTGTTGTGCTATAGAAAACAACCCGGCCGCAGCAAAAGAGGAGGAGAAGAATTGGGGAAAGGGGATTCTCTGAGTCGTATTGTTCGTGTGGTTGTGGTTTTCGGTTTTGCGGGTAAAGGAAGGAGAAAAAATGGCGGATGCCGCGGAAGAGAAAGGTCAATTGGGAAGACGGAGGCGGTGGCTCCGGATCCGAATTCGAAATTCGAAATTCGAATTTTGTGGAGAGAGAAACTGCGTGGCGGCCTGAGGTTTGGTGTTCTTTTTGTGTGTGTATTTATATTACGGGTCGGGCCATAGTTCTCTACTGCCTGGGTTTTAGGTTTATCAAAGTTTTTGCTATTTTTCAAGCTTGAAATCAACGCTGCCCCGCACTGGTGCTAATTGGTACGTTTATTTATTATTTTTGTTATGTAAAATACATTTGTATAATCAAAATTGTCATGTTTGTCTCATTTATAGTCATTTTTGGCGAAATATTACTAATAGCCACTTTTGTCCAATTTTTTAACAGGGTTAATGTTAAGTCTGACGGGAAAACAGAAATGCTGACGTGGCGAGCTCTTATTTCCAATATCCTCTGTAATTATCCACGTGGATAATGGTTAATTAAAAAAACGATAATGGACCGAAAAATTAAAAAGCCCTCACCCTTCCTTCCCTTATCTTCATCTTCTTCGAAATGTACAGCAACGTTTGTCCGATCTAGAAACTTCCCCTCTGCTTCTCATCCATTCGACTTTTGAACTGAGTCCAGTCGAGAAACTCTCTAATATCGATGGCAGTTCTGGAAGAAGGGCTTCGAAAGTGAAGGAGGAAAAGGGGGGATTCTTCTTCGGAATTGGGCGCCTCTCCGCTAGCTTCTTTCTCAGTCGCCTTTTCTCCTTCTCTTCTATCTCGACCAGGAGCGACCAGGACAACGACCTGTGGTGATGGTAGATGGCGAGAGCTTTGCTGGGAGTGGCGCTGCTGGAATAGGATTGCAATGATGGCGGTGAAGTCGGGGGAGAACAACGAATCTATGTCCCCGAGGCTGCTGTTAACGACGATATTGCCGACAAGGACAATGGCAGGGAAAACTCGACGGCTAGAGGGCGACGGTAGCTGCGATAGGTGAATCAACCGTCGCTACTCTGCTGCGAACCTGCAACGGGAGCTTGAATCGACGATTGACGGCGCCTTCTTCTCTGGTTCTGGTGAAGTAGAGGTAGATGGGGGTGGCGACTGGGCGACTTGGAAGACTCGACGATGAACGGGATTGACGCCGCGGGGGAAGATGTAGCGAACTTGGTTGCTCAGCTTCTTCCCATCCTTCCCTCTGCGAGGCGTCGATAGCGTTGGGGAACGAGAACCAAAGGCGGAGTTGATGCTTGAATCGAGAGAGGAAGAAGCTCTCTCTAGCACCAAATAGCTCCAAATTCTGGGTGGTCGATTCAACCCTAGATTGAGAATATGTAAATTGGGAAGCTTCAAAATTGACGATAAATTTTGTGGGAAATTTGGGGAAAGCTTCAATCGCCGAAGTTTTGTTATTTGCCAGAAGTTTGGGTAGGAATCGCCGATTCAATCGCCAACAGGTAGGGAGCAAACCCTAAAAACAAAATCGGGGAAAGAGGAAAAAAAATTTAATTTTTTCCTTGTTTATTTTGTGTAAATAATAAATAATTTAAATATCTGACGTGTCACTATTTGCTTAGTTGTCGCTGACGTGTCCGCTGAATTGGTGCCTCGTCGGCCGACCGTCAAATAAGTTGACAGTGTTATTAACACCGTTATAGTTTCTAACGGAAATGACCATATCTGGCATGCAACATCTTTCAAAAGTGGCTATTAGTGGTATTTCGCCAAAAGTGGCTATAAGTGGCACAAAGGTGATAGTTTTGGCTAAGCAAGTGTATTTTGCCTTTTTGTTATACCTAATTTGCGATTGGAATATGACCAAATAAAATTTGCAAATTATTCATAAAAAATTGCAAATTGGAAGTTTTATTATTAATATTGGTCGACCATAAACCTTTGTTTCCGAAAGAAGGGAGGAAAATGGAGGGGAGGGGAAGCAGCGGCGGATCCATGACATAGTAAAGCACTGGGCCGCAGTTCATTAGAAAACTAGATACTGCAAAAAATTATAATTTTTTTTACAATATCAATTGTACCCGTCTATCTTTTAATATAGTGAATTCATCAATAAAGGAGTCTACATCCATATTAATCGCATACTATTCTTTTTCAAATAAAATAGTTAACCAATCGGCGAGAAATTCATTGCTCATTTTGTTGCGCAAATCATTTTTCACCTATTCCATTGTTGAAAAGGTTCTCTCCATAATAGCTGTTGAAACGGACAATGTCAACACTAGACAAATCAATCGACTAATCAATTTGTATAGTGTATCCATCCCTATTTTCACCACCTGCTCTAGTGATTTTTCAAGTAAACAAATCTCATATTTCTTTTAGCATTTTACGTTTTAGACTTTTAGAATTTTAGGTTTCATTGTTTGTTTTTCTTTAGACGAGACTTATTTGAGCTAGAATTTCTAGACTAAATTTAGAGTTATAATTTGAATATGTTGATCTTACCATTTTCCTAATTACACACAATTGTATTATGAAATAACACTCGGCCGAATGACTAAAATCAATAAACGCATAAGGGCTATACTAGTTCCGGATCCAAATGAGGCCTGGGTCGTGGCCCGGGGTGGCCACCCCCTGGATCCGCCACTGAGGGGAAGGGAATTAGAAGATGAGGGATAGTTTGGAGGTGAAGGAAATTGGAAGGAAAATGATGTTTTATGTAGGAAAGTGGGAAGGAAAATGTGTATTGGGAATTGTGATGGATATGTTATTTTATCGGGTATGTAATAGTAAGATAATTTGATTATATGTTGATATTATTTTCATTGGTTATGAATTGTGAATTAAATTTGTACTTGCTTACTAATTTTGTTCACTATTAAAAATCAAAAGTAGATGGCTTGAATTGTTTTTGTGAACCTATTGTTAAAATTTTGTCTCTCCTTTATTGATTCGTCAACATAGCAACTAAAAACGGAAACATACAACAATTCACACTAGCCCCTTCCTAACATTCATTCTATAAAATTTACACTCTATAATTCGTGTTTACAAGGATCGTAACACAATTTTACATATCACGTAGCAGGTTTATGTATCGCGTAAAACAACGTTATACGTGACGTAATCACCCATATGGATAGTACGACGTACGCTACGATTTTACAAACACTAATTTGAATAATAATCACTTATCATTAATTATAATTATTTTACAAACACCAATAAAATTTACAATGCATGCGTACAACAATTCAAAAATGAAAGAATCAAATACGGCAGCAAACAGCTAATCAATCTATCGACAGTTTTTTTTTACCACTAAATGCTACGAGGGAGAACCAGAACTCAAAGTCTCAGACAAGTTCAGGGCGCAACTCAGCAAACCGTGGCAGAGAAAGCTCGTCGTGCGCCTCCTGGGGAGATCTATTGGATATTCAATGATGTGTAGTAGGATTCGAGCTCTCTGGAGGCCAACAAGTGCTATGGAGATCTTTGCCTTAGATTGACGAGTGCTTTCTAGTTAAACTTGGCAACGATCAAGATTATTTCAAAGCGCTTACCGAAGGCCCCTGGGTTATTTTTTATCACTATCTACTGGTTAACCAGTGGACGCCGGACTTTAGAGTGGTGGACAGTCTGCCACGGTCCATGGTCGTTTGGATACAGTTTTTAGGGCTGCCAGTGCATTTTTATCACAAGGAATTACTTTTTAATCTCAGCAATCTTATTGGGAGGTCCATCAAGCTCGACTTCCATACGCAACATCAACACCGAGCCAAATTTGCGCGTATGACAGTGGAAGTGGACCTCTCAAGACTTTTGGTTCCCATAATTAGATTGGATGGTTGTTGGCAGAAGGTAGAATATGAAAATCTGCCTATTGTGTGTTTTGAATGTGGCAGGGTGGGTCACACCAATCTATCATGCCCTGCCCTTGATCGGCGACAGGTGGGAGAGGGCACGACGGTGAGCCTTCCGGCAGGGGATACTATGACCGGCGTCACAACGCCGGAAACGAACTCGGGATACGGCCCGTGGACGGTGGTCACGCGAAAATCTCGGCGAAATCAAAAGGGGTCGAACAAACATGGAAGGTCTGAGGCATAGATGGAAACAAGCAACGACCTAAAAAGAATTGAGGAAAGGAAATAAGAACAATCCACGGGTAAGTCATCTTCTCAGAATAACTCAAGGATCCAGTTCAAACAACGGGCATCTGCTGAGGAGAAATTGGAGGCGGACAAATAGGGAAAGAATAACGCAAATTATGGCAAGGGGGAGAACAAGGGGAAAGGAAAGGTTTTGGGTTATAAGGCGAAGATGGGAGAAGGGCTTCTTGGGCCGCACCCGATGGAGGCCTCGACTAGTAGGCCCGCGGTAGAAGACAGGCAGCACACCAATCCTGTATCTCCTTCGAGCAAGGCCTCTAAGGAGAATAAGGCCGAACAGAACAAGCCCAATGGAAAAGAAACTGGGTCAAGCAACCATACCCATATGGCTACCCAGATAGTCTCCGAGGGTAATGGAACTAAAATCCGGGTTGTGGAAGCCCAGCCTTACAAACCACCTCTGCCATGAGTCGTCGACCCGGAAGCTCCATCGGCAGTCGCGCGTACGAAGAAGAAGAGTGGGGGAAAGAAGGAGCAAAACAAAGGGATGCTCACTCCAAAAAAAGGGAATCCATTCCGCCACAACCTAGGGAAACCGTTGCAGATTTGGTTGCCGATTAAGGAAAGGAAGGGACGGAGCAGAGATAGAAGAGTCTCCCTAACCTTGAAGCAGATTCAGGATTGGACGGAGATGTCAAGGACAGGTGTTGATGGGGGCTCAAGTTTGGTCACCACTATTCGAGGGGAAATGATGAGCACAAAGGCAACAGGGAGCGCGGAAACTCCCGAAGCACAGCTCGGATGATCGTTGTCGCCTTCGCTGCTGGATTCCTCTCTTCTCCCCTTATGACCTTCTCTTTTATCCCCTTTTTAATGTCTTTCTCTTATAATTCTGATTTCAAAATTTTTCGTGGAATGTGCGTGGAGCGGGTAGTGCTGCCTTCTCTCGTTCTTTGAAGCTAGCGCTCCAGCTCCACAAACCTGACTTTGTAATTCTTCTTAAACCTCAGGTTAGTGGCGATGTGGCCAGCAAGGTTTGCAAAATATTGGGCTACCCAGATGTTCTGCGAGTTGAGGCAACCAGGAGAAGTGTAGGTATCTGGTTCTCCTGGAGCGGTCAGAGGTGGAACGTCGAGGTTGACTGAGCCGGACCTCAACACCTTACTCTCTCAATCAATGCGGGTGCCATGCGTAACTGGAAGCTGACGGCGGTGTATGCTTCGCCCCGCCAGCAGCTCCAACATCATTTGTGGCACAACCTCATTGAGCAAAGTAAAGCCATCTCCTGCCCGTGGATTCTCACTAACGACTTTAATGACATCCTTTCCCCAAGTCGAGAAGTCGGGAGCGCCTTCTCCTAGAAATCTGAGTCGTTGCAAACGCTTTGGGGATTGGTTGAATGAAGTTGAGCTAGTGGACTTGGGTTTCTATGGTGCGAAATACACTTGGAGCAGAGGCAATCAAAGCCAGACGTTTAAGGCTAGCAGACTTGACAGGAGCCTCTGCAACCTCGAGTGGAACGAATTCTTTCCCAACATGACTGTTCTACATCTAGCCCGGATTAGCTCGGATCACAATCCGATATTGACCACCGTGGCAAACCAGGGAGTCAACCATACCTCTTCTAATAATTTTAAGTTCGAAGTAGCGTGGCTCACCCACCCTGATTTTCGTGAGTTTATTAATAACAATTGGAATGCTCAAGCTAATTTCCCTGCTGCTCTGCAGATTTTGTCGGACAGCTTGTAGTAGTGGAACAAGAATGTCTTTGGCAGCGTCTTCCAACGCAAGAGAAGGCTGGTGGCGAGACTGGAGGGCATTGAGAAAAGGCTAGCTCACTCTTTCGATCCTGGCCTAGCTAAGCTCCATTCCAAGTTGGAAGCCGAGCTTGACAGGACTTTGGAGCAGGAGGAGCTGTTTTGGTTCCAAAGAGCTCGGCAAAGCTGGGTCAAATTTGGAGAAAGGAATACATCATACTTTCATCAGCTTACCAAGCTCAAGCGCCGGTCTAATAAAATTGAATGTCTGAGAAATGAGAATGGTGATTGGGTGTTAAGAAGCAGGAGCTTGCTGACATGGTTTTTTATTTCTATTCTAAGCTGTATTTGTAAGACTCAGCTCAGTATGCAGATCTGATGCCCAAAGGGGTGTTTCCGCACCTTGACCAGGAGGATTGGATGCGGCTTCTTCGCCCTTTCTCGATCATTGACATTCATCAAGCTATTTTTGACATGAAGCCTTTGCAGGCGCCCGGACCGGATGGATTTCAGGCAGTTTTCTATCAACAGTCATGGGCAGTGGTTGGAAAAGCGCTCGCAGACATGGCTATTGCTTTCTTTGAGAGTGGGACGCTTCCGGCAGCAGTGTCAGACTCGACGGTTGTCCTCATTCCCAAGGTGGAAAAGCCAGAATTTATGAGTCAGCTTCGCCCCATTTCCCTAAATATGTGAGCTTGAAGGCCATCATCAAGGCTATGACAAGTCGCTTGAAATTGGTTATGAATAAGCTGGTCTCGCCGCGGCAAAGTAGTTTCATTGCTGGCCGCCAGACTTCGGATAACATTATCATTGTCCAAGAGGTCCTTCATTCTCTGCGGAAGAAGAAGGGAAGGAAAGGTGGTATGGTTGTCAAGATTGACTTGGAGAAAGCGTACGACAGGCTTCGCTGGGATTTTCTGAGGGATACTCTGGTGGAGATGGGGTTGCCAAGCTCATGGATCCGCTGCATCATGTATTGTGTTGAGCAGAATAGGATGCACATCCTGTGGGACGACAAGCTTTCCCAAACCATTACCCCCTCCAGGGGAGTGCGACAGGGATACCCTCTTTCTCCTTACCTTTTTGTTCTCTACATGGAACGGTTATCTCATAGAATTGACCAGGCAGTCCGCGAAAAGCAATGGAAACCCCTTAGCATTTCGCAGGACGGGCCGGCTTTAACCCATCTTTTCTTTGCAAATGATCTGGTTCTTTTTGCAGGAGTAGAGGGAAGGTAAGTTAGGATCATTCGCCAGTGCTTGGACGAGTTCTGTGAGAGTTCTGGGCAAAAAGTCAATTACTCTACGTCTATCATGTATGTCTCGCCTAATATCTGCCAAGCTAGAGCTCAACGTCTTAGCGATAAAGTTGCTATCTCGTTGGCGAAAGAGCTGAGGAGATACTTGGGAATTCAAACCATTCATGAAAGAGTCACCAGGAGTAGATACCAGGAGCTTCTCTTGAGGATTCGGAGGAAGCTCGCACCTTGGAAAGACAGACGTTTATCTCTGGCGGCGCGGCTGACGGTTGCTCGTTCTGTTTCCCTTGCTATTCCTACTTATACTATTCAAACTGAGATGATTCCTGTGAATGTTTGCAACTCGATTGATAAGATTAACAGGACTTCATCTAGGGCAAAGAAGAGAATCAGGGAAAATGCATCTGGTTGCGTGGGACAAACTCACAGAGCCAAGGAAGCAAGGAGGAAGAGGGCTTCGTCCTCTTTGCCAAGGTAACCTGACCCTTCTTGCCAAAGGAGGATGGTGCATTCTCCAGGAGAAAGATTCTCTCTGGACTCAGGTTATGAGGTCTAAGTATAGGAAGAAGAGGGAAGACTTGAACCTTTTCCATTCTTGTCAGGGAAGTTCTTTCACTTGGACAAGTATCACTAAAGCGTCCAACTTGTTGAGGAAGGGATGTGCTTGGAATATCCATAATGGGAAATGAACTAATTTTTGGCTTGATAACTGGCTTTTGTAGAGACCGCTTCTTGAGGTGGCTACCCAACCTATTCAGGAGGAGGAGCGAGGACTGAAGGTGGTGGCATACTTGGACGAGGATGGAAGTTGGGATACTGGGAGGCTCTCCTCGGTGATGCCTGCCGATATTTTGCAGAAAGTAACGGCAGTTATGGTGGATCCGGCGGCAACTGAAGCGGACAGGCTATGCTGGTCTGCTTCGGCGGACGATCGTTTCTCGACCAAAACTGCGTACCAGCTGCTTTTGGATCCGCGCTTGGAGCAGGACGAGTCGTTCTGGAAAGGGAATTGGAGGCTTCCCACTAGTGAACGAGTGAGATGTTTCTTGTGGATGGTTTCGTTAAATCGGATTGCTACCAATTCTTTTCGGTTTTACAGGAAATGTGCAGGATCCCCAGCTTGTTACCGTTGTGAGGACAGACCGAAGACAATTTTGCATGCGCTTCGGGATTGCCCACCTGCGCAGTACTGCTGGTCGAGATGGGTGTCGAACACTAGACATGCGGACTTCTTCACTAGTGATCAGGACACTTGGATTCGCAACAACCTTAGCAACGAGGACACTATGGAGACCGGGATGGACTGGCAGACCTTCTTCAGTGTGGCATGCTGGCTGATTTGGAAAAACAGGTGCACAACTTGTTTTCAAGGGAGTTCCAAGGCTTTCTCAGCCCCCTACCCTGGCTCATGCGATTCAGCACAAGGCGTTACTTTGGCATAGGGCTTGGCAGGCCGTTTTCCTCTCTCCGGGCAGACCAGCCGCTCAAATCGAGAGGATCTCAGCCCATATCCAGTGGCATGCGCCCAGACGAGGGTGGTTGAAACTGAACGTTGACGGCGCTTCGGCAGGCAACCCAGGCGTGGCGGGAGCTGGTGGAGTAATTAGAGATGAGAATGGTATCTGGATTGCAGGTTATGTAGCCAAGATTGGGGAGGCTACGGCGGCCCAGGGTGAGTTGTGGGTGCTCCACCATGTTTGAGCCTTGCTTGGAAGCTGAGATGCGAGAACCTGATTGTCGAAACTGACTCTCAACTGGCTATTCAGCTGATCAACAATCGGCGTGATCCTATCCACCCGTATGCCGCGCTTCTGGACTCTGTCAGGAGGAAGCTTGCTCAAGATTGGCTATTTAGAATTGTGCATACATACCGAGAGGGGAATAGAGTCGCGGACTGGCTCTCGAAGCACAGTCTCGTCTATCCCTACGGTATGCATAAACTCTCTAACCCGCCAAGAGAGCTTCGGCCGATTCTTCGGGACG